CCACAAAAATGGTAAATTGCCACAGGAAAGTGACTAATTAAACAAAATGTAGAGTGGTTCAACGAAAGAGGAGCATCAAGATCTCAAGAGGGAAGGTGGAATGTCATCAGGCCCAGCCCCTTTGTTAATATCTAAATTTTTAAGTTTTAACAAAATTACTTCTTTAGAAATATGAGACACATCAATTAAATTATTACTTTTAATAAAATCATTAGCTGAAATATCAGAAGGGAGAGTGTGAACAGAACTGAAATAATTTTTTAAACAATTTGCAATATCTTCATTAGTGTTAACAGTTATTTGTTCATATACCATCTCATTTGGAATTCTAGAAGTTCCGCGCAAAGTATTAACAAAATTCCAGAAGTATTTTGGATTCAATATAACTGAATTCTCTACACGGGTCATATAATTTTTGTAACACATCTTAGATTTACGTTTACACTCAGTACGAAGTTGAGAAAATATTCAATAATCTTGATTAGAATTAGAGCGTTTATAGTTTCGATAAGCCTCTTTTTTTAATGATACCAATCGCCTTAGATCGCTAGTAAATCATGATGGATATTTGGATGATGCAAACATTTTTATAGGTACAAATAAGTTAAAGCCATAATATACAATATTATAGAAAATAGAAACTGCATCATTAATGTTAAGCGTATTCAAAGCATTATCCCATTTAATATTTAACAAATAATTATTCAATCCACACAAATCAGCATTAATAAAATCATATTTACCACTTGAAATACCAATATTATTATTATTGGCATTAATACCACTCGAAACATTAATTTCTGTAGTAAAAACTAGATGTGGATGGTACTTATCTATTGGTAAAATAGACTCAGTCAATATATCTAAAGTAAAATTTAAAGAATTCTGAAGTACCAGATCAAGAATATTACCAGCTGCATTAGCAAAAGTATTCACTTGATTGATATTTAAAAAGTCAAATGTTTCAGATATACGAATGGCAATCCTGTTATAACTCTTCGATGTACGAAGTTTAGAGGTACACGACGGACCATTTTCAGTATGCAAACGCCAAGAAAAAAAGGGCATATTAAAATCACCGATTATAATTAATATTGCTGAAGGAAAAGAATTATAAATTTTTTCTATAATATTACAAACAGCTAAGTATACATTAAAAGTAGAATTAGGGGGAATATAAAATGTCCCCAAAATATACAATACTGTTTTGATAGAAAATTTTACAAAAATGTGTTCTACTGAAAAGTCATTAGTCTCTAGAAGCGAGGCATTTAGCATTAAATTACATGCTATCAAAACACCACCACCTCGTGAATATACGCTGATATCACTATTTCTGTCCAAACGAAATATGTCATAATTCAAAAAGCCAAGTTCTGATGAATTAAAAGACAAGTTTAGCCAGGTCTCAGAAAATATATAAACACTATAAAATACTGATAATAATGATAGCCGAAGATTAATTAATTTACTTCTCAATCCACTCACATTCTGGTAATAAACCGATAACGTGTGAAAATCAGCTGTAGCAGGTCCGCACAATGAGCGAGAGGGGGGAGCACTTGATGAATCAGCAGTGTCACACAGTAAATCGGCACCAACACTCAAATTTACTATGTCTGAGTGACATGTACATTGCTCCGTGGCTTCCGACGTAAAGTACCGGACACTATCGATGGAACACCGTTGCGATAGACAATGCGAGCACTTGTATCCCCCTTTTGTTGCCGCTCTTCCAAAACCTTTGTCAATGATGAAATTTCCTCCAATTGCATTTTCGTCATGTCTCTTGACAGTCGCATTTTTTGTAGAAGAGGTTGAAAGGCATCGTTCTTCTTTGCTGCCAGAAATGACATGTGGAGTAATCTTGCTCTCACCTCTGTGCTGCATATAATTTTCAGGGGTCTTGGATGTTGCTACGTCTGCTCAAACGAACCAATTCTAAATATTTTAGAATTTTCCTGTAAATCTGGAGAAGAGAAATTTGAAAAAAGTTGCAAAACATTATTTGAAGGGTTTTCTTTAGAATGCTCGTTAGGCTTATCATATTTATTTTTAGCAAGACTAAAAAGAATTAGATTTCGGGAACGAGAAAGACGGTCTTGAAATTCAGACATGCAGTTTGTAGTTGAGGAATAAACCTGCAACTTTTCAAGAGTACCTTCAATAACTGCAATTCTTGTTGAGTGGTCGGTGACAGTTGAAATCACTCCATCAACTTTCAAATTCAAGTCATCAACTTTAGAAGATATTTCGCTTATTGTTTTTGACATTGTTGACATTTCATTCCTTGTTTTTGTCATGGTTGATAAATTACTATCCAATCTCTCATGTATTCCCTTCATTGCTCTGCTAATTATAAGTTCAACACTTTCATTCGTGATAGATTGCATTTCAGCACGATCTTGAGATAAAGTAAACAATTCCGATTGATTCATATTTAGTGGCGATTTTGGTCGACAACATCTAGAATATCCACCGTTAGTGAGCACAGTTGTACGAAAAGCACAGCCAGGGTGATATGGAGTAGAACGAATCTTGCAAAAGGTTGCATTAACAACATTTTGCTTACACATCATACACAACTTTGCACTCGCAATATTATCCTTCGCTGCCATGCTTTATCAACACAAAAGTTAGGTTAGAAACTGTAAACACTATGAATAGTCACCAGTTTGAACATCAATCACCACAATAATTAACAAAAAACATAAAAGAGTATCAGTAAATGAATCAGACCACGTAAAAGAAAATAGCAATGCTAAGAACACAATTTTATTATAAAATTTGCAAGAGCATCCGACACGTGCTACAACAGTAGGCGGCCAGGGTCGTAATTTTTTTAAATCAAAGTCTTAAAAATTGATACAAGTTTAATGTGGGGAGTATTCACTTTTGCTCAATTTGATTTTTTAACTTCAGATGAAATCAAAGACATATTAATTCAAATTGAAAACAAGTTATAACAAATTACAAAAGTTCATGAATAATAAAGTTTGTAAAATAATTTTTTTTATTTTTCGTTCAGATTTACCAAAAGAGGTACAGAAAATCCTTGATATAGAATCAGAAACTGTTACGACAAAATATAGTTTTTCTGAATGTAATTCCCTCCCAAATGGTGAAAATATCTCTTTGTTAAGCAATTTTTTTCAACCAAATAATGAATTAGAACCTTTAAATAAAGATATTTTTTAAACCTTCAGTGGATTAAATTCACAGATTAACAATAATTTAATTTTAAATCCTATGAAAGAAAAATGTTATACTCAGAATTCAGATAAAATTGATGATCAGTCAAACACTAACTTAATAATAAACCTTTTAAACGACGATTTTAATGATGTCAACAATTTTGATGAGTGTATTATAAAAGAAAATGTATTTCTATCTTCAGATGATGAAGATGAATCGAATTTCGATGAAAATATAAATACTTGTTTCGCCATTGATAACAATCTTGATGAAGCAAATTCTTCAAAAAAGTTTAACAAGGAAATATTGTGCAATTCTAAAAAATGGAAGAGGAACGTCATAAAAATGGCTTGGAACTTTGAGCAAGAATACAAATATCTCCATTTACAAAAAAGACAATACCTGTACGCACCATGCAAAGAACATGTGGTTCTGGATGTAAATTTAAATGTCAAGAAAAGATTTCTGAAGCTACACGAAGTGAATTTTTTCATGAATTCTGGAATATTACAGAACATTATTTATTTTGATAAATATTTAAATATTAATGTTTATATATATTACCTAAAATTTTGTTTTCATTATAAATTCAAGACAGCATTTTACATAATTATAAAATCGACGAAACTACTAATAAGAAAGAATAAAAAAATTATGTAAATTAGAAATTTCTCTTTTAAAATAAAAATACCAAACATTGAAGAAATAATATTTTTGAAAGTAGTGTAACGATTACAATTATTGAATCTGATTAGCTCGCCAAGCCAGGGTTTTTTGATTCGAATAAAAATAAAACAACATGTTAATTACAAATCGAAAACAAATTATTTATTTACAATATTATTTACAAGCAATGCAAAAATTGACTGGACGTTTATGAACTGACATCAAGTTTCGTAAGTTAGTTTAATATATATCGTGAACCACGCTATTGGTTCCATTACGATAAAAAATAAGATAACATGAATGTATTGATAAAGACTGCGTTAACAATGATAATTGCGATCAGTTCGCAAAATTCGCGAAACATTAGCTACGTATTGTACGTAATAATAAAACTACTGGAACGGAATGCGGATGTTATCAAACGGGTAACGACGAATAAAATATGATAATTTGCGGTTTGCTCGAACTCACGGGAGGATTTATTAATTGTGTTTATCACAACGTCAAAATGATATTTGATTTAACCGGTATCCATCGGGTGCGTTAAGCGGCGGGGTGTATCGGCTTCGATAGAAATCGAGCCGCGAAATATGCTTAATCGGCGTCCACCACGATATTGGAACCGTTAGAAAATCTTCTTCTTGGGCGCTGTTTCTCCTCTGGACGATATCGTGAGATGCTGCTAGAAACCTGTAATCGCAAGTAAAACTCTAGTATAATTTAATATGTTTAAAGAACCAAAATTTATCTACATAAGAATCTAAACGCGTTCGAGTAAAACTGGACATACATCGGTTATTAGAGTAAAACTTTAGGCTATTTCAGAAAGGTAAAACTTCACTGCTCTGAGTAACACTCAGTTCTATCCTTAATTCACAAATCCGCCTCCTTTTATACCGGCTCGACCGGCCAGGAAGTGGTGGGGACGAACGACCGGATCGGGCATCTGGTGGGGGGAATCTCTCCGTCTGCATGGCGCTAGATCGATTCGGGGTTGCTGGCGCGCAACTTTTCGCTCCGTGCACTGAGGCCTTTCTCCACCGTCCGTGCCTTTGCCTGGGTCTTTCGCTCAGTCTCGCATTGCTTAGTTTCTGCGCACGCACGTCTGTCTGCTGGTCATTGAGGGTGTTTTCGACGTTGGCACTCTGAGCGCTCTGAGAGCTGGAAAAGGTTCTCAACCACATTTTATTATTTTTGTGTATTTAACTTGTGAATGCGGCTTAAGATATTTTACCTAACCTAATCCAATTTTCTCATTACGCTTTCATTCTTTCAAGACCGGTGAAGACCACGCTGTTGCACACGTGCATCATGGAGAAAAAAATTATTTTAAATGGGTTAATTTTAAATAACAATAAAACATTAATAAAAGATAATGGTCGCATTTTATGCGACATAACGAACGTTGATACAAGTAAGTATTAATTTTAATGTAATATAATGTGTTTATATAAGAGAAATAAATATTATTTGCCCATTCTTTAGACATATAGTCATAAAAAAACTGTATGAATTTATTATTTTTACACAAGTTTCTATTTTAATTAAAATTAGTTTTTTTCCAAGAATAATTTTTTTCCAATAATTTATCTTCATTTTACAATAATGTGTCCTTTTTTTAGATGAAAATTCATACATGTACATAGAGGAAAGTACCTTGCTTCAATGGCAACAATTGGAGGGCGAATTTGCTGATAAAAAAAAGAGAAAATTGAAGATTCATCTGGTATGTATACAAAAATAATAATTATTTTAAAATTTTTATTATTTTTCTTTAAATATGAATTTCAAGTGGAAAAGGCATGAAAACCCCACTTTTTTAGCAAGCACAATTAAATTAAATAAAACTTATCAAAATATGCAGTTTTGAGATTAACTTTTCAATTTTCTTTACACTTTCCTTCTTTCAATTTGCAATTATTAATAATTAAAAGTATAAAATTTCGACTTTAATGATTTTCGCGATTTTTGAATTTATGAATTAATTAAAATAAATATAAAATAAATAATTTTTTGGAGAAAGATGAAAAATACAGTATTTTGGTAATATTTAATTGTTTACTAAATAAATCTGCAGAAAGAAAGTTTCGATGGTCTGAGTGATTTTACCTTTTAAAAATTGTATACTTTTTATAGGTTAATAAGTAGACAATCTTTGTAAGATGAAGTTATTTGATTAAATGCATAATAATGTTCAACCGAGCATTAACTCTGAAACATTTACCTGCATTATATAAGCTATAAAAATTATGCAACTTTTAAAATTAATATCTCATAAAGTAGAGCAATAACCATCGCAACATTTTTTTGTTGATTTATCTAGTGACCAATTAAATATTCCCGAAATACATTTTTCAATTTTTTTACTACAAAGTTCAAAAATAGTGAAACTCAAGAAAGTTTTAATTTTATACTTCTAATTCTTAATAATTACTAATTAAAAGAAAGAAAATGTAAAGATAAGTGGATAATTTATCCCAAATACTTTATAATATTTGGTAATTTTTTATTTAATTTCATGTTTTCATTTTTTTTATAATTTTCATAATTAATGAAAATGGAAATATTAGGTTATATATTAAAAGATCATTGACAACATATTTCATCCATTATTTTTACTTTTTTATAAGTTTAATCATTCAAAACCAATAAATCAGGGTGTCCAGCGAAACTATAGAAAAAAAATTCCCTTACTATTCCCTGACTGTTTCCTGACTTTTTTTTACCTTCGTTCTCCTTTGTTTCAAAATATTTTATATTAAAAGAGAAGCATTTTAATATTAATATATTTAAGATAAAAAACAATTGATTTATTATTACTATAAATTTTATCTCACTAGGTCTTAAAGTACCGCTCAAAATTGAGAGACCATCCATTTTCAGGTTATGAAAAACATTTTAAAACATAAAATTTATGGAAACTAAATTTTTTTCTTATTTTTTGAAGGATGACAAAATTTTGAATATAATAATATCTTTCTTAAATCATTTAACCAATATTTTATTAAGATAATTTTTAAAAATCTGCATTTTCTATGTTTTATAAAAATTTGAATAACTAAAATTATTATAAAATAAACGCTTTTTCAATTATCTTAGACTTATTTCGAAGGTAATTTTCGAAGATGACATAATTACTTATAGGCATTAACTTGCAATATTTTCCTTAGAAAATGTAGGTCGTCAAACTTGGACCAAAAAAATTTGAAACAATTTTTTTAACTAAAAACTATTATAGAAAATATATGAACATGATTACTACTGTATCTTATTATTACTTAATATGATTTTGAACATTTAAAAAAGTTACCTGATTTTTCCTGACTTTTCACTGCCTAAAAAAATGCCTGACTTTTCCCTGACCAATAATTATTTTGAAACTTTTATGAAGTATTACATGTTATTTAATATATATTATGTAATTGCTAAAAAAGCGACATTTTTTCGTATCTTCTCCACTTTAAAATCACATTTAAATAAAAAAAAATATTTCTAACATAATTTTTCTTAATTCATTCCTTACGCATAACGTAATTTAAAGTAAACCTTAGGTATTGTAAAGTAATATTAGTCTTCTTTAAATGATTTAATTTTACTGTAAATTATTTATAAAATTGATAAAAATTCATTAAATTCATTTATTCTTTTTCTAGCTCTTTTTAACCTCAGAATGCAATCTTTAGATTTAGTAGCTTTTAGTAAAAGTATGAAAAATTTAAACGATTTTATTTTTTAGTTGTCAAAGAACCTGCATTAGGACAACCATCGGTACGCTCTGGTTCTGACAAGTCTGTCAACACGGAAAAACAATTTCCCAATCCAGGAGGCAGTCAATCCACCATGGCTGAATTCGACTTTGCACTTGGTGGTTTGTGACCGTTTTATTTTAGTTTCCAAATGAAAAGTTTGAAAACTTAATTTTGTACTATCCCCTTTGTTTGATTTTTTGAAGATCTTATTCATTTATATGTGGCAAGTGTTAGATTTCGTGATATAAAATTTCTGAATACTGCCTTCAGTTAGAGTAGTTTCTACAAAAGTGGGTCAAAATTAAGAAAATCATTATTTTTCGAAAAATGAATGTAAAAATTACTTTTTGATTAATCTTAGGCAGTGAAGTTGATAAAAGTAACTTAATTTTTCTTTTTCATATTAAGTTTTTATTTATGGCATGAACAGAACCCATAATGTTCCTATTTTCAACCGTATGTTTCAAGTCCAGTCAAATAATATTTTTTTAATGTAGTACCGGATGTACGTAGAAATATTTTTATAAAAAATAAGTTATTTTTATTTACATTTTTGTTTATTTTGGAAATTTCTTTTTACTTTTGAGGGATATTTCTTATTTTTTATTGCTATAATAAATTTTACACAGCAGTTTTTATCATTATCTTTTATTATCAGGACAACATCCATTGGAGAAACACAATCCTTCCTCATCGTACTCCAGCTCTGGCCGGCAAGTTACTCACAACGAGAGGACTCGAACCTGACGGTTTGTTAATTTTTCATTTTATTTTCTGTAATGAAAAGTTTTTTCATTACATGATATTGTAAAAAGGAAAAAACTTTGTAAAATAATTGCATCTTGGAATATCATTTTTTAAATTTAATTTTCAGTCCTTTATAAAATTATCTTTTCTTTTAGGCGAAGACAATACTACTGATAGTGACAGTGATGGCAACGAAAATGATATATCAAAAAGTACGCGACCGATCGCGAAGAAGCAAAAAACAAACCCGGGTAAGAATTATTGAATATTTAATTAAATCTTATATTACAATTCGACTCATTAATCGTTCTTATCTCCTGCTTTTTTATTCAGTATTGCAGTCATTTGACTATCTCCAAAAATAGCAAAATCTTTAAGATTTTAAATTAATTATATTTTTTTAACAAAAAAATTTTAAATGATAATTTCTAACGAAATAAAATTTATACGATAATATTATGACCAAAAAATTCAAAAATTAATTGTAAATAAAAAATTACTGTAAAGCCAGATTTTTTGACCCACTTATGCATATTACTCCACAATCCTTGTTCTAAGGGAAGCAATATCCTAGACTTCTATTACCTAATAGTGTAATGAGTATAATTGACTGTAATCTATTGAATTTCTGCTGGAGTTTATCGAAAAATTGTTTTTAAGGAAAAAGATTTTTCTTATTTAAACCTGGATTTTTTCATTAGGAGATTTCAAATGGGAAGTCGATTGGATCTACTCGCTCGTGGGATCTTATAAGGATATTATGGCGGAGAAAGGAAGTAACAAGGACTTCAAAATACAAGTGTATCGAAGAATTTCGACTATGTTCGAAGATAATGGAATAAAAATATCTCCACAGCAATGTGAATCAAAAATGAAAGCACTTCAGGAAAAATATAAATCTGAACTTGGCAAAAAAAACAAAACCGGTCGAGGTCGGAAGGATGAATGGCCATTTTTTGAAATAATGAATGACCTTATGTTCGACAAACCTCAAATAACCCCACAATCAGTATCGTTAAACTGAAGGGGTACAGAATTAAAAAGAAGTCATGTAAAACCAAAGAGAAGGAGAAGGGAGATACCTCCAGTGATGATGACGATTTTGAAGAAGAGAAAATGAGAAGAAGAAGAAAACCCAAAGAAAGTGCAGCTCATCAAGTTGTTCATTTGCTGCAAGAAAAAAACAGGCAGAGCAGCGCGTTTCAGAATAGAGTGGCAATTGCTCTGGAAAATTTCCTCGAAAGTATGAAAGAACAAAAAAAGGAATAAGTAAATATTTGCTTATTTAATTTATTTTTAACTTTGTCAATGTAAAGTTCTGTGATTAATAAGTATTATTATAATTTATTTATAAATTTTGGAAATTTTTTTGACAATGTCCACACATGTAAGTGGTGGTCAATAAAATTTCCAAAATTCCAAAATGTGATGAACGTTAAGTGTTCCATATAATTTATTGTCAAAATCTATGGCTGTGTACATTTTATTTAGTATAATTGTTACCAATTAAAATGTAAATGGGTCACAACGCTGTAAATCATCTGAAAGTGGTTGCTGACATATTTTAAAAAAGTCTAGTTTTAATATTATGTAAAACTAGATGAAATTCTGAGTTTAATGTGTCATAATACTGTCGTTTGAATTTTATTTCGTTAAAAATTATTATTAATTCAGAACATTAATAATAATTTTTAACGAAATAAAATTCACACGATAATATTATGACACATTAAACTCAGAATTTCATCTAGTTTTACATAATATTAAAACTGGACTTTTTTAAAATATGTCAGCAACCACTCAAATGATTTTCAGTGTTTTGACCATAAAGTGTCTTGCAATATAGTACAATAAATGTCAGCTTTAGTTTAGTTATTAAGATACAAAAAAATATATAGAAAAATTAGCACTTAAAGTGCCTTTTGTAATAGAGTAAGAAAAGAAAACTCAGTTTAGTTTTTTGTTACGAAGGTACAAAAAGAATTATGTAATTATGTTACAAACATAGGGTAGATGCACTTTTTTTTAGCCATAGCACCGTTCGAGGCCAATTCCATTTTTTTATAATTTTACTATTTTCCTTAGTTCTGTGTTCAATTACTTTTTCTTATACGTTAAACTTTACATTGTAATTTTTGAAATAAAACAAAGAGTTATTTGGAACTGTTTTTCATTTATTTTATAGATAAATTTTCATAAATTATAACAATTGAGTTCTTCATTTTAATAATGCAACTGTGTTTTACATCGAAAAAAAGTAATATTGACGAAACTAATATAATTGATAATTACTTAAATTTTATGTAGGTATACTGCTAGTATGATCTACAATTATAACAATTACTTTTTTTATTTTTTAAAATATTATTGAACCTGCCAGTTCGCTGGTAAATATTTCAATTCTAAAACTGTTGGAAGACGCATTTTTTAACATTCGAATTTCATTATGATAGTAGAATTATCAACTTTTTTTTTTTATTTTACTTGTTTAATTAATTACTATATATTAATGATATTTGTTAATATTAATTAAATTTTTTACATTTTTATTCGTTTTATTAATTTTTTATTTATTTTTTCTTTTATGTATTGATAAAAAGTGAAAACTACCATTTTTTAAAAGCGACTTCGATTAAAATTACCATTGTTTCAAGTTACTAACAATTGAAAATAATATTGGTAAAAACTACCATCGATTTAATTTTTGAACGATTAAAGCTCCAAATGATTAAAGTTATTTTTAAAACAACAAAAAAATTAAAATTACCATTGTTTAGAATGTAATAAAAAAAAGAAGAATTTATTTCTACAAATATATTTTGTTAAATGAATTTTCAATACATTTAATTATTATTATTTAATTTTTAAAGAAACTTTTATACTGTCGCAAGAAGTTTGATAATCGTGAATAACGTTAAGAGCTGACAAATGATAGAGAAAAAGAGGGAAAGTGTCTTTGAGAAAATTAAGAACAATTTTCATTTTACAAATATACAATATTGGAAAATATATCATTCAATGATGGACAATTAAAGCGTCGAAGGAAAAAATAAGAGGGTAAAACGCGGAAAAAATATTGAACAAGAAAATCCTATTATCTTGTTTTACAAGTAATTTCAAATATGAAGCACAACAATTTTGATTCGTGTTTAGAATAATTCTAATTTTCCAGATGTACATTTTCCATCTGTATATATATATATATATATATATATATATATATATATAAAATCGCAATTCTTTTATTTAACAACATAAAATATATATCTTAAAGTCTTAAATTTACATTTTTACACTTCGTTTTTTCACCCATGTCAGCCACAATAAAAAAAAGAATCTTTTTATGTGGTTTCCAATAAATAATGCATCGCATGAAATGTGATGTGAAAATGTCACTGGTCCATTCTCTTAGTCGTGATTGAATACGTTTATCGCCTCCTTGCTGCCATGAACATTTCACAAAGATGAAGCCTTTTTGCTTCAGCATTAGCACGGACATTATTAGCGCCAACGTTAATGCCTCTATTATCACCATCGTCGTCGTCATCAATGTTGTCTTCTTCTCTTAATATGTCTTCATTTACTTCGTCCTCTACATCTAGACACACATTGTGAACAACACAACAGGCAGCTATAATGAGGGCCCCATATTTGACATTTTGCAAATATAATTGCTTCATTCTCCGACAGCGGCCTTTGAGCAAACAAAACGCTCTTTCGATGACAACACGCTCACGGGAAAGAATTCTGTTAAAATTCCTCTGCGCAGGTGTCATGAAACCTCGATCTTTGTACGGAGTCATTAAGTATGGTTTGATACCATAGGCTGAATCACCAATGATATGGGACCCTCGAGGACAAAATTCCTCGATGTTTTCCTCAATGGCTTCACTTATGTCGCTCATGGTCCAGACCCTGGCGTCATGGACACTGCCGCAAATTCCCGTGTATATATCTATGAAACGCATCCTGGCATCGCAGATGCCTTGCAAAAGCAGAGAATGGAATCCTTTGCGATTCACATAACTTTCAGGATTCTCTGAAGGGGCATTGATTCTAATGTGACAACCATCCACTGCTCCTATAATGTCAGGAAAATCAGCAATCTCAAAAAATTCCTGCTGGTTTTTTATGATCTCTTGTCCTTGAGGCCATCGTATGAATTCTGCAGATCTTCGATTTAGGACTTTCGCAATTCGAATAGTACATCTCCAGGCTGTATTTTGCGAGACTCCGAATCGATCTGCTATCGATCTAAACAAAAAATAAATACTATTTAATATATGAAGTTAACAATAATAATTGGAGTTGAGAGTTAAACTTTTAGAATTCAAAACCAACACCCAAAGGGAACAGTTTATAAACAAGCATCAAGTCCTTTTCGAGTAATTTTACAACGTAGAAGTTAAAAATAATAAAAGTTTAAACTCTTTAATTCCAGAGCATTGTAAAATATCTTTTAATACTGGTGAAATTTTCAATGTCTCCAATTGAACCATTTTTTAATACTTATTTTCAAGTATACACGGAAAGAAAATTCTTAAAATAAGAGGAAAATTCCTCTTACGGAAATTCTCTTAAATAAAGAATATTACTTTCAATTTTTAAGAGGAATATTAAAATTAGAGGAATATTCTTAAAATAAGAGGAATCTTCTTGAAATAATAGGAATCCTTTTGCGTCGTATACTACAAGAGAATATACATTTGAATAAGAGGATTCCTCTTAAAACAAGAGGTTTTCATTTTCGGTGGATAAACAAACCTATAAACTTCCAGATTGGCGAAATACCACATAGCTATGCACAATTGCTTTTCTATTGGTACTGTAGCAAGTCCACCATTCATTGCTCCAATTAACGAGGGAGCTAAAATTTCCAAAAAAACTCCAAATGTATTTCGCGACATCCGGAAATGGTATTTGAAGTCTGTAAAAGTAATAAATAAATAAATATATAAAATAATTAATTACTTGGAGTCGAATTAGTAAACATTTATAAAATGACATATAAAATATGTAGTGCGATATTTTACATTTTATTATTAAAATATTACCGACAATTAAAAGTGTGAAATAACAAAGGTTAAAATTACTTTTATATTAATTATTAATTAATCATAAATTATAAATTATTATAAATTATTCCGAAACAGACTAATTTATTATGTACAACTTTTTAATAGAAAATTTGTTGCCCTGGCGGATTGTTTGAAAATTGTTAAAAAAAGATCTGTTACATTCCGAATTTTCAAACACATTCAAAATAAATTCTAACTTGTTTCCTTATTTTTAGCTTCTTTTTTTCTTTTTGACATCACAATTATTTTAATCCAAGGATTGCAGGAAGTCATATTCCGAAAAATTGGTGCATTTATGGCAGACTTGTTTTGTTATGACGAGCTGAATCATGTAAAGTTTGTCAGGGTAAAAAATACTTGATTGAGGTCGAAAAAAAAATTTACAAAAAATTTTGAATTTTTCAAGGCAAAATTTTTAGATTTTCAGCGTTTTTTTTCAATTTTCGAATTCAGGAGAAGTTTTTTCACTTCTTATTGTCGAAAATGGATTTGCCAATTTTGTCAGAGCAGGAAATACTAGATTGAATTAGAAAAAAAAATTCTGAAAAAATTGTAAATTTTTGAAAGTCAAAATTTTAAGATTTTTTTGTCTTTTTTTCCAATTTTTGATTTCAGAAGGTTTTTCACTTTTTATTGTCGAAAATGGATTTGCCAAGTTTGTTTTAACTTTCCTATCCTAACAAAAAAACGCAGAAAATCTTAAAATTTTGACCTTAAAAAATTTAACTTTTAATAGAATTTTTCTTTTGACCTCAATCAAGTATTTCCTAATCTGACAAACCTGAAAAATCAATTTTCGACAATATGAAGTCAAAAACATTCTCCTAAAAGCAAAAATTGAAAAAGCGCTAAAAATCTTAAAATTTTGACCTTAAAAAATTTAAACTTTTAATAGAATTTTTCTGTCGACCTCAATCAAGTATTTCCTACTCTGACAAACCTGAAAAATCTATTTTCGACAATATAAAGTCAAAAACATTCTCCTAAAAGCAAAAATTGAAAAAAAACGCAAAAAATCTAAAAATTTTGACTTTAAAAAATCCAAAATTTTTTGAGAATTTTTCTTTCGACCTCAATCAAGTATTTCCTACTCCGACAAACTTGGCACCCTTTTTTGTTGCAGAATTTTTAATATATATTTTTTTAAAATACATTATGTATATTATATATTTTTCTACATATATTATGTGTAATGTATATTTTATTATATATATTCGGAATATGTTCGGAATCAGTAGAAAATTTTTACCAGGGAGCATATAAACATTATAACAAAATTAATATTATGAAATATATATATTTACAGGTTAAAATTATCTTACCTGATAGCGAATACATCGCAATTACATCTTCAAAGTAACCTACAATTTTATTATGACTCTCTTTTCCATTTAAAATGAATATAATGATTTCCTCATCATCATCATCATCGTCAAAAAACATTTCAACAAGATTTTGTACAATTCCTATAGCGTTAACGTAATTGACTTCAGGGTTTAAATTTGCCATTTTTGAAAATTTTCCGTTATTTACTTTCGCACTCTGAAAACACGCTCGGTTTATTAAACAAGATTGAGAAATCAGAGCACAAGCACAGCCTGAACGCATCCAATTTCAAATAAAACATGCAAATAACACACCTTTTTTTGTGCACAACACCTAAAACTGCAGCCCGTATCACAAACATGTCACTTTTAGCATGCTTTAGCCAATCATAATAAGTTATGGCTAATCATAATTTTTAATATTGGTTGATTACCACTTAACACTTTCAGAACACTCAGAGCGTCGACGTCGAAAACACCCAAAGATTATGGTGTCCGTTTTTCAAAATTCAAAATGGCGGATCCAAAATAGCGGACGAATTTTTAAATAATCGTTTGGATTCGCTTGAAAATTGTTACTCGGGGGTATTCGGAGTCGCTGATTTCGAATCTGATGTAAGTTTTTCAAAATTTAAAATGTCTGATCCAATATGGCGGACAGAAAAATTAAAAATCAATACAATTTACTAATATCAGATTCGTAATCAGCGACCTTGAAAACCCCTGTACAACGAGTTTCAAGCAAAACCGTCAAATTTAAAAAAATATATCCGCCATATTTGTTCCACCATTTTAAATTTTGAACAAATAACATCATATTTACTGTCAGCATTCCAAAAAACCTCCAAGTAGCAAATTTCAAGCGATACCGAACGATTTTTTTAAAAAAATTTCCGCCATATTAGACCCGCCAAGTTTGTTCTGACAGTTGGCATCGCCTAAAGTCATTTAAGAAGAAGAAGAAGACCCGCCATTTTGAATTTTGAAAAATGGACACCGGATTCGTAATCAGCGACCTAGAAAACCTCCAAATATCGATTTTTAAGCGAATTTGTTGAAGTATATGAAAAAAAGTTGCCTGGGTCCAAGAGACCCAGCTCAGGAAACTGCGTAAGATCTATAAAATAATGTATTAGAAAGAGTTTTACAATAATAAATTCTCTTTCTTTTTTTAAATGTACGTTATATCATCAGTTTATCCATTTGATAACGATTTTGAAAAGAAAATTTCTTACATAGAAATAGATGAAAAAGCAAATTGTCTGAATCCGAGGGACCCAGCTCAGGCACGCAAGGGCTAAGGAAACAAAAAATATCGATTTTTTGGGTCAAAGATGTCACTCCTCCTTAAATATGCAATTTATTTTAAACATATTTTATTCCTTTTAAATCGTCTTCCCAACAATAATAAATAAAAAATTAGGAATATTTAAAATATATTTTTAGAGAGTATATATTAAATCAACCTTCTTAAAATAAATTATGTGATATTTGACTCTTAGTTTTATTTTGTACATAATAAATGTTCGACATACATATAATACTTTAAAATTTTTAATTTATAGATAAATTATAAACTTCATATTAAAATTCTTATTGAAATGATAAGAACGGTCACTTGCTATTATTTACATGAAGTACATATCATGAATACTGACAAAAGACTTGCGAATTAACCAATTCATACATGATCTAACAAAAATTTGTTGGAGCAAGTGAGTAAAAAATGCAACTGTAATTTAATGTAGAATAAATACATTCACGGAGTGCAAAAACAATTTTAATTTTTTCAATTATTAAAAAAATTGTCTGGCGCACTATTTTTAAAATTCCATAATTTATTAAGTCATACATTTGAGTTACTTCCATATTTGTTTAAGACGTTATTAAAATTCTTAAAATAATAGCGAAATTGATAAACATTTGTCGATTAATATTTAATTAATATTAATATTGTATCAAACTATTCTGTGAACAATTGATAAAAAGAACATTTACAGGATTATAAACAAACTTATATTGGTTATTATTTTTCCGATATAATATTTAATATACAAATTAAAATATATATTTTTTTGTATGGTCCTGTAAATATCCTTTATAATTTTTTTCTTCTGCAAGAATTTCTAAAATCATTTCATACACGTTTAAAAAGTAATACAAAAAAGTACTGAACAACCGTTGATGACAAAAAACTACGCAGAATGAACTGTAATAGTTTGAATGCAATGTTGTACTAAAAATTAATATAAAGTATTAAAATTCATGGTTTACATCAGACCTGTCCGAATACTACACTTTAGATACTTTTCAGCTCCCCCTATTTTTACTTACCTTTACTTGTAGTTTGCCAGGGGGTAGAAAAATAATTAAGTATAGTTCAAGACTGAAGAATATTCGGTAATTCTCAGCAATAGGTTAATTTTGGGAGAAGATTTCGACAGGTCTAATTTATATAAGGAAAAATCTTTACGTCATTAGTTCGCTCAAGACCAGTGCATCAGCGTCAGTAAAAATTTGTTCGTGTGCAAGCAGACGTTCTACTTTGTGATAAAAAAAATTTCCACAATCCAAATAAAGCGAAAAACTTAAAAGCGAATGTTTCTCTGTGTACATAATAATAACCTTTAGACTGCTGAACGCAAGCGGCACGTAATATTACCTTCATATCAAGATAAAATTATATCTCTAAAAATCATAATATTACAGTTCGTAATACTCCACCTCAAGATAATGTAACATGTAATATTGAGATAATATTCAAGTAATATTACTATCACTAGAAAAAACCAAGAAGGAAAAGCACTAAGCTTAATCTTTTGGAACATGGCAGTTTAAAAGTTAATAAATGTGCCAAAATAAAGCTGATTTTCAAAACCACAAATAAATTTCCTGTCAATTTCTAACGCGTTTTCTTCAAATTTCACCTTAAAAGTGCTTTTGAACAATATATTCTTGAGATATTCTACATTAAAAGTACAAAAGGCACAATTTCCACTATTTTTATGAATAAAAGACTTTAATTTATAAATGTATGGTATTAAGAAGATAAATTTCACAAAGTATGCAAGTAATCAAAATATATGACTTAAAAATTAGGCGCATTAAGAAATAATGTCTTAATGTATAAAAATGTTAGGCCTCAAAGGAATAAATTTTTTTATATAATAGAAGTATAAAAACTTTTTGACTTATATTAAAATAAGTCTTTTAAAAAAATTTAGTCTTAGAAATTTGTAACTTTGATTATATTCTGTCCAAATGCATTATTTACTGATAAATAAACTATCAACAGTAATAACATTTTTGTTTTGCACAAGATGCAATATATATTCTGGTTTTTTCATGGAGTAATAGATATAAATAATTTGTTTTACAATTTAAATAAAGTTCTACACGAGAGTTACCAAAATATATAATGCACATTAAAAATTCAAGTAGAAAACAATAAGATTAAGGTTTAGCAAGGTAAGTAGTACATCTAGATTGAAAAACAGCGACATTTCGCAATTTGATGTTTTATAGTGGCGCGGGAAAATCAGAACTCCTTTGGGTACGCTATTAAAATTAAGAAGTTCTCTGAACTTGTTGATTTAATTTTATTTTCTAGAATTTTAAATTATCTACGATTTACTGGTCGTCACGCAAAATAATTCAGACTTTGGAATAGGCCTTTTGATAGATTTTTTATTTATGAAAACGAATTTGACCTTAAAAATTGTCGACATTTTTAGGAAAAATGTACTTAAAGAATTTAAAAAGTCTTGTTTTTTACATCACATGTTCAAAGAAAAGCTGAGGTGCTAAATGTCTCTAATTAGGTTTAAAATGTAGATTGTAGCTTTCAGCTACAAACATCAGAATGAAAATATTCTAAATCGATTATATATTTTCATGCAACATAACCTTTTACGAGCGCGCTCACGATACGTGCTTATCACTGCATACACAGCCGAGAACAATGGAACACATATACTTATAAACTGTAGCTATTATATTTATTTTTTGGGATTATTGAATACGAATCTAATTCTAAAAATTTTAAATTGTACATGCTGGATTTCATAATCAGTAACATCAAAAACAATAAAGAGCAAAGCTAAAGATTATAAGTATTATAAGATGATAAGTTGTTATAAGATATAAAGTTCCCCATGAAAAAGCTGTACTTTGTAAAAATATATGATTGGTTTAAGAGATTTTCGTTTTGATTCTTGTAGCTGAAATTTCAAGCTTCATTTAAGCCTAACTAGAGGCATTTAGTACCACCCCTGGTTAAAATTTCGGACTGTTTTTAGATTAAATGCAGAAAGATCAGTTCGGATTAGTCTGGAAATTGTACAAAAACAATCCGAAAATCAGTCCAAAATTGACGTGAAATAAATCCGTGATTAGCCCGTAACAATTTGATTTTCGTTAGATCAAAAAACAATCTAAAGTGAGTTCAGAATAATATATAATTTGTATGTAAACTATTCGAAAACAGAACGCAACAATCCCAATTAAGTACTGTCAAAGAACTGAATCCGAAATGAGTCTGCTAGAATCCGAAATTTTGTATGTTATAAATTCTCAATTAGTCCGCAACAATCTGGATTTAGTTTGGTTTTGCTACTTTTATTACAATTCCAACGCATGCCGTTAGGTTCGGGTAAGTCCAAAATTAGTATTATTTGTGTAACTACTTACATAAATCGGGAAAATTTCGGATTAAGCCGGACTAATTCTGATAAATAAACCGGACTGTTTTGGACTAATTCCAGATTAGTCCGGAATTTTTACAAGGCTCAGCTTTTCTTTTTACATGTGATCAAATATAAGCAAAAACAGGGTTTTTTTAATCTTAAAGTACATTTTTCTCAAAATGCTGACGTGATTGGCAATTTTTGAGGTTAGATTGGTTTTTAGCGATAAACAATTTATAAGTTAGGCCTATTCCGATACTTGAATCAGGGAAAAATTAATTTTTTGCCGACCACTGATTATTATTAGGGTGGTTCAAAAAATATTGTAATTCTTGTATTTTAGGTTTCAAGATACTTAAATATATATAAGCTACCGGAAAGTAAAACCACACAGTACAGCCCAGTAAAAAAAACTAATTAAAACTAAAAAAGCAAATTGAAATGAATTGACTTTTGATTGAATTCTTCTGAATCCCGCTTAGTGATATGTCACGACAAACTGAAATGAATTCCCAATGGGAAAAATACCATTGGCGTATTAATGTCCCAATAATGGGAGCCAGGGATGCCAATATAATTTCAATAATCGTACCCAATAATGCACCATTATTAATAAAGTCACGGGCTGTCCACGCCGTTGCCAATGATTGTCAACCATCATTAGCAACCGATAATAAGACAATATTTAAATTTTTAATAATTTAAAAAATCAATTATTTTAAAAAAATCCTTTTTTTCTTTTTATTATTATTTTATATTTCATAATTAAATTACAATAAAAAATGGTCATTACAGTATTCGTGAAACCGTTTCTTCCAAAAAAAAGTTTATCTCACATCCTAATAAATAGGAGAGACATCGGGCAGAAAAATATTTCAACGAGAAAAAAATTTTAGTTCACTTCTTATATACAAATCTAGTGGCACCTTAACTGCGAGAAAGAGTCATATTCGCCCTCCCTTTGCGGCGTTTAGCGAATTAAAGTGATCAAACTCACAAATTCAAACGAATTGACTAACGCATTTATTGAATTCGTGCAGACGAATTAAAAAGAGTTAAAGCTTAGAAAACTACTTTACTGAAATCGAATCCTTTTTCGTTTACTGGGAGGCGTTTGGGTTGGTCACTAATGTATAAAAATTGGATATTAAAAAAATTAAATATCACTATCTTATTTGAATCGAAATCTTTTACAATTTTCGAGAAAAGAGCAAAAATCTAAATTTTTAAAAAACACAAATTTCATTTAATTTTTGGTGGTCTACATTACGGTCGTGCAGTCGCATCAACGAATCATTTATCACACGGTAGGCCTAAAGCAACTTTAGGTTGCATGAAAATGATGATAAAAAGTGTAAACGCCACTGTTTTCAGGATTGATCATACATCAAACAAACGCTTGAAAGAGACTGTCCGAAACTTTTTATAAACAGCATATATGATTCGCCCTTATTAATAAAAATTTACTCATATTTTCTTTCGTATGTGAATTACCGACAAACGAAGCGTCATTACGTCCGCAGACATTTTGGTCTAACAGTCTAACTGATACAGTAATTAATTCCCGATATAAATTTGGAATTGTCATTGTTTCCAACACTTTCAGCTAATTCACCATTTTTGATAGATTGTGCTACAAAAATGAAATTTGTATGTAAGATTAAACTATTCTTCTCTGTATAGGAAGAGAAAATTTATATTTACATTAGAATATGGATTCTACAATCAAAAAATCTTCCAATTCTAAGCTTGATCGTAAATGCATTCACGAGGAAAATAGAATTAAACTATGTGCACCATGCGGCAGAAAAATATAAATACAGATCATTATAAATGTTAAACATTTACAAATGTAGTTGAATATTAAGGAATATATTTAACTAGACAGCACAAAAACTTGCAACAACCTTGCAGCATTATAAACATGCTAGGTTCCCAAACTTACAGCAAGACTGCCTCAAGTAACAAAATTTCCCACCTTAGCAAGCTTGCAATGAAAGGTTGCCTAAAGCTTTCAAAGAAATGTTGGTTAGCGTTCTCGACTTACGTGCGTACAATCAGGTTTCGAATCCCCATACCCCCAAGATTTTTTCGTGTAATATTAAGTTTAATAAAAAAATATAATGCCAAGAAAAAAAATTAATAAATAGAAAATTTTAATTTTTTCCTTTTGTGATTTCAAGAAAAAGTCTTTTGTAAGATTGCAGCAAGCATATTGTAAGCTTGTGTTAAGCACATATGAACCTTTTATTGCAAGCTTACATCAAGCTTTTATTGAAAGCTTATAAAAATCTTTCATTGCAAGGTTGCAACAATCTTTCATTGCAAGATTGCGGCAACATTTCTTTGAAAGTTTACAGCAACCTTTCATTGCAATCTTGCTAAGGTGGGACATTTTGTTACTTGAGGCAGTCTTGCTGGAAGCTTGCCGCGCAAACTTGGGAACCTCGCATGTTTATAATGCTACAAGGTTATTGCAAGTTTTTATGCTGTCTAGGTAATAAAACACATATATAAAAAATGCACCTTGCTAATACTGGAAAAATGCTTATTACGCGATTTAAAAATGAAAAATGTCAATATTTTCTAAAAAGGATCAGCTAGGATTTCGGTTCAAGCATTTTCTTGAAGTATTATCAACCCTGAAAACAGGGACGTTTCCACTTTTTTTCGTCATTTTCATGTAAACTTTAAGTTGCTTTAGGCCCACCGTGAGGAGTTACTCGTTGTCTTTAATGCCAACTCTAAAAAGTTTCTCAGGTTGGCCCCTTAGAATTGATGGGACAGAGAATCGTGGAACGACCTTGGTCAGTTGTGGCGGCTGACACGATGGAAATCCCACCTAGTAAGAGTAGATGTAGATATCTGTTGGTTTTTCAAGATCCCTTTTCCATATGGGTTAAGTTGAAACCTTTAAGATAAGCTGACGGGAAGTCTGTGACTAGGGCATTCGAGGACTTGATACTCTTCCAATGGCAGACGCCGAACTTACTGTTGACTGACAATGGAAAGAAGTTCCACAAATATCTCAAGGGTGCACTTAAAGAATATAGAGTTAAACATATTATTACTCATTCCTATTATTCTCAAGCTAATCCGGTAGAAAGGAGTAACCGGACCTTGAAAACAATGATTTTGACGTTTATTGGGAAGGACCATCGCAACTGGGATCTCCATGTTCACGAATTTCGACATGAGATGAACACAGCGAACAACCAAATCTTCCCCCGCATACTTGAATTATGGTAAGAATCCCTGATTAGTTAAACGTTTGTGACGAGAGATTTTCGTATTTTCGAGAAAGGGAGACTCGAATGATCGAGTCTGACACGGGGAAAATCCGCATCAAGACACCAGCCGGCCGAGGAATTCCAACCGCTGTTAGACGTGGCAACACCGCCTCCACTAATGGATTTTCCAGCAGTGGAATCAGGTCGAACGAGGACATTGGAGGCGATACATCGCCAACCTAAAACTGACATGGGAAAGAAAGAGGAATGTTGTGCAATCGAAGTATTGGAATAGGGACGATTCCCTCGAGCTGAGTTTGAAGACTCAGAATTGCGTCGCCGCCAATGGGAGAGTTGGGAAGAGTTTGGGAGTAGGATAGCAGTCAAGGAGCTCGATCGGTTCGACAAGAAGGAATACCGGAACTACTCCAAAATTAACAAGGGAGGATAGTCAGGCAAGCATTATCAGAGAAAATCAACGGGAACCATTGCCCCGCAAAACGACGGAAGTGATGATCAACGACGTCAAGACGATTCCAACGGACCCATCGATTGATCCCCCTCCTCGAACCTGTCAAAACTGCTGGTGTCGAGGTCACCGAAGAGGAGACTGTTTAAAGAAAGTGACGGAGAGCTGTTGCGAAAATTGTGTCCGGAAATACGTAATACTGCCAACTACGCCAATTTTGACCAGGGCAATGACGGAGAAGCGACAAGAGCCGTTCATGTTTGGGTGTTCTTTTTATAACAAATAAAAAGGAATTTAATTTAATTATTGAATATTATTCCGTTATAATTGTAAAAATGACTATTGTCATTTAGAAACATTTGGGTAAATGTTGAGCACAAAGCTATTAATGATTCAAAATAAAAAAATATTTAAAAACATGACTTTTGGTGTTGTTTTGTTATTAAATTATCATATATTTATTTCTTTTTAGATTCAATGAAAAAAACATTTTTGAGGGACTCTTTTAAAAATCTGTAAATTATTATTAATAAAAAAAGAATAAAAATGTCGCTTAGTGAAAACACAATAATTTCGACATTATTTTTTCCTATGTATTTTTTGAACCACCCCCTAATGTTTATTTAATATATATCTAATCGAGTCCTGATTTTTCACGGCATCTTTTTATAAATATCAATAAGATTATGTGATTATCAGAAATTTCTCTTTTATTTATATTTTTTTTTATCTTCGTCTTATTTTTAACAATGTCTGCAATATTTATTAACGATGCTAACTTATCAAGTAATATTAGCCTATCTTACATACTTAGAAGAAAAAAAAATTTGAATCAAGGATGAAAATTTAATTAAACATATTTCAGTGGCGCACACTATTATGCAGACCATAAGGATAGAAAACAAAATATTTTCTTAAATTACTCAGTAATAAATTTACCGCTCAAAAATTTACTTTTACTTTGAAAAGAAATAGAAGCTTTTGAATTGATTCATTTTCCGGGTGCAGTAAAATAAGTAAATGAATAATTAATAGAGTTCTAAAACTTAATCATAACTATCTTTACATAATTATATAAAAGAATAATTTAGTGACTATAAAATTCTACGTAAAAAGTAAAATAAAATTCAAATTACAATTTTTTTTTAAACTTATTTTAATTACAAAAAGTAGTTTATTTAATGTAATTTCTTAGGTCACTTTACTACAAACTTTTGTTCAACGAATTAATTACTAAGTATTTGTTATTAAGATTTAAAAATTAATATAACACAGATAGGACATAATTAAAAAATCATTTATCAAAAATTTGATTAAAAAATTTTTAAAAATCAGATTTACTAATAATAGATAATAATTAGCTTCTAATTCTTTCATCTTATTTTTAACAGAATTATTGAAAAGAACAAGAGATAAAAATTGTTTTTCTTTGTAAATCATAAATTACAATTGCTGCCACTTTTGATAATCTCCTTTTTTAGTAAAAAAATGAAGTATAAAATAAACTCAAGAGTACTGAACTCGAATATAAGTAGTTAAGTATGTAAGAGTTACATTTATTCAGGACTGCACGTTCGCTAAACGTGTTGGAGTTGTAGGTTGTAGATCCATAGTACGGCATACCCAACCTGCGATGTCAACATTTTCACATTCTGCTTTTTTAATCCATTCGTGATTCTAGAAACAGAAATTCCCACTAATTTACCAGAGTACTTATTTCTTCTTTTTTTTATTTACATACAATAAAAAATAATAATTTTTTAAAAAACATAATTAAGAAATGTACTCTAAATGGAAATTAAAAACGCTAGACAGCATTGAAAAATTGAGTTTCCGATGAAAAAATTTATACCCTTCAAAGTATTATATCTTCAAAAATAAAATGTGCAATTGGAGGGGCGCATGATTATTCCATAAAAATTATTAATTAGAATTTTCAATTTAAAGAATTTTATTAGAAATAATTAATTTTTTAGAGGAATTTTCATTTTTTTTTTTTTGAATTAGCATTTGACAGAATTTATTTTTATAATTATTTTTATTTAACAAAATTTTAAGCTACTAAATTTTTGTTTGTCAGGATTTTAATTTTTTTTTTAATTTTAAATTAATCAAATTTTAATTTCACAGAATTCTTATTCAATCGAATTTTATGTAATTCGGATTTTTAAATGACAGAAATTCGAAAAAATTCGCAACTTTTTTAAAATAAGACAAAAAATCGCATTAAAAAAAAACATAAAAATTCTTAGAATCTAAATGTTATATAATAAAATATATTTGTTTATCTTTAAGAAGAAAAATTTTTTTCCGCTATGTGCAGATAGTTATACTCCCACGCAAAATACGCACAGAGACGGCACTGAAATTTGGAAAGTAAGCGTGACTTAAGTACCGTGCACGTTCAAGTTTCGAAGAGTTGGAAATTTCAGGCAAACGTGCACGTTGGCGGTTCTACAGTATTTCTGAAAGGAGCCACCCAAAACCTTTTTATTTTCTTCTTCGATATTATATGGTTTTTTAAAATAGTGTTTTATATAAAAAATCACCATACCAAAGGATTTTGATGAAAAATTTTTTTGTTAATGTTATTAATAATTAAAATTTTTTATGGTTTTTCATTAAAAAAATAATTTCTCGAAAACTTATTGATGGATCGACATAATATTAAAATTTAAATACTCATAAGCTACCTCTGATTAAATTTTTGTGCAAAAATATTTCATACAGACTGTACAATATACGTATGAATACGTCGGGTCCAGCAGACCCGTTGTGCCATTTACGTTCGAACGCGGATTTGTACCAGTTAAGGATTAATATTCTCATCTTACATTCAATTTATTTTGAAAGATGAGAAAATTTATTTTGTTTAAGAACAATTTTTTAATTTTAAAAAAATGTTAATTGTTTTTAAAACAAAATAATATTCTCATCTTACATTTAGATTTATTTGGTAAGATGGAAAATTTTATTTTAATTAAAAGAAAGAAAAATTTTGAAAGTGTAAAGAAAATGAAAAATTTAAGGGAATAGAAAGTCATCTTAAAAAATAAGAAATTAAAAGACAAATTAATAATTTTAGGAATTAAGAAATCGAGAATTTGAGAGAAAAATCAAGATCATTATCCAATTGGTAAAAATTAATAAATTTTAATAATTTATAAAAAAAACAGTTTTATAAAAAGAATAGATTTTCCAGAAGAAAGAGAAAAAGTAATTAATTAACCAGAAATTCCAGAAAATTAAACAAATTCTCTGATTATTCTCTGGACATTTAAATTCCCTGACTTCTTTCACAATTAGACACCCTGGAGATATATAAAATTATTATATATTATAATTTTCAATAGAAAATACATACCATAAGGGTCTTTAAATCAGCTCTTTCTGCAGGATTCTTTTTCAAGCATCTATCGACAAAATCAGTAAATGAATCACTGAAAATTCCCGGTGGCAATTTTGGAGGCGGTTCATTCACTATGTAATCCAGAAGTTCAAATATCGCCATTGGTCTTGGACTACTTGCATCTTTAAATAATATAAAGTATATTTAATAAAATTAATTTAGAAGAAAAAATGTTATGTAATTTTCAGATATTATCTATTATTTACTAATAATTCAGGTAAAAATTCTTCTTTCTAATATGAATAGTTCAATTTCTTTGGATTTCATAAAAAGAATTTCAAAAAAAAAAAATTAAATCTTCAAAACCACCCATAAAAATAAAATCAATAAATAAAAATAAAATGATGTTCACGGCATGATTTCGTAACCTTCAGTTTTTAATATTTTTAAAAACGTTATTTTTCAAAAACTATTTAACATAAAATATTATTGCTTACAAGAAATATAAATTAGTTTATTATGTACAAAGAAATGATAAAATCGTTATAAAATTATTTTACTTCAAGACAATAATTTAATTTGAAAATTTTTTTGTGGGAAAAATTTCACAACTTTTTTAAAACTTATATTTTTTTTGAAGCTTTAAAAATTCTTAAATTAAAAAAAAATTATTTTTTTAAATTGTCATTATTGTCTTGAAATAAAATAATTTTATAACAATTCGACAATTTCTTTGTGAAAAATGAACTGATTTACGAAATTTATGAAATTACTTCTTGAACATCCGAAAATAAAATAAATAAATGAAAAAAAAAATTTCTAAATCTTACTATGCGCTGGAGACTGTGACGTAGGTGTTGGAATGTTATTGGTTACGACATTCTCTGTAGATGACGGACCCTGTTGATGACCAAATATCGTTGACAAAGTTTTGGCGTTTGGTGGAGGAATAGGATACATTCCAATAGCCATTTCAACCAATGATAGGCCTAAGGACCAAATATCGCTTTGTACCGAATAATGTGTGCCTTGCAATCTTTCAGGCTGAAAAAATCATCAAGAAATTCATGTTTTCCATTTTAATTTCATAAATATAAATTTCAATTTTTTATTTTATAACATTAAAAAAAACCACTATTATTTATTTTCAAAACTTACCGACATATAACTTCGAGTACCGACAAAAGAATTTGCCATTGAATCAATTAATTGTCCAGATACTCCAAAATCACAAATTTTTATTTCTCCTGCGCTGTTTACCAAAATATTACTTGGTTTCACATCTCTATGCATTATTGCATGTTTATCTCTTAAATAACTTAAACCTTTTAAGACCTGAAAAAAAAAATTATTTTCCCTTTAAATATTTGTCAGTAAAATTATAACAAGGTGAATAGTAAATAAATATGTTTATATTTATTATAAAATTATTTTTTAAATAATTTTATTCAAAAACATTGTCAATTTTTTACTTTGTAGAGAAAGATATTTTTTTCGAAATTAAGTTTCACAATTAAAAAAAAAAACCTCTCATAGAAGTCGTGTTACGTCAAACTGAGATCTAATAATAAAAAAAAAATTTTTAATAATTTCTTTTCCGGTTAAAAAAATAACAAATGACATATAACCTTTTTTGTTTATTGAAAAACAAAATCAATACTTGTCAGGTTATCTTCTAAAATGAGTTTCCGTGAAAAAATATTAACAAATAATTTCTTTTAAAGTGAAAAAAAATAAATTTTAAAGAAAGAAAAATGAATAAATTTCCACGAGCAGTTTTGAATGCTCCAAAGAAAACCTTAACAGAAGATGAAATAAATAATCTACATCATGAATTGGAAACTATTGATCATTTAATTCCATTAAATAAATTATGTGAAAAATTCAAAACTAATTTGAACAAAGGACTAACACATAAACAAGCGGAGGATAATTTTTTACGAGATGGACCAAATGCTCTTTCACCACCAAAAATGACATCTGAGTATATAAGATTTTTAAAATGCATGTATGGAGGTTTTGCTGGTCTTTTATGGAGTTGTGCTGTGTTATGTTTTATTTTGTACGCTATTAGTATTGTTACTGACGATCCTCACGGAGATGGAATACAATGGTTTGGAGTAATAATCATTCTAATTTGCATACTATCCGGTCTATTTGCATACATTCAGGAAAGTAAGTGAAAATGAAATAAGAACAAATTATTAAGAACGTTTAGATAATTAGCATTCTTTTTTTAATAATAAATTTTGAAAAAATCAGAGTTGACACAAAAATATTATTTTGTTTTTCCCTGACGTTTTCTTGATTTCCAGTCAAAATTAAAATTTTTTCCCTCACCCTAATTAAAATATTTCAAGAGGATTTTAATGTCTCGGATTGCACGACTTTTTCGACTTTTTTTTTATTTTTTAACATTGAATTATTAAAAAAATATATCAACATGAATTGTTTGCATAATCAATTATTTTCAATAAATTAAAACAAATTATTCGAAAATTACATGATTTAAAACAGTTTTCAATTGAAAATACACTAAAATTCAATTATTTAAAAAATTTTCCAATTTAAAATCCTCCAAACTTTAATTATTATGTAAAGTTTATAAAATATCTACAGAAATTACAATTTACGAAAATTTTAATTAAAATTAAGTCTTCTGGAATTCAATTCGTTCTAAAAATTTTAACTACAGCTCTTTCAAAAATCAATTATTTAAAAAAAATTTTAACTTCAATTTCTTTCGGAATTAATTATTTCTAATAACTTTAATCAAGTTTTTAACAATTCAATTACATGAAACGTTTTTAAAAATTAAATTAATTAATTATTAATTAAATTATTAATTTTTTAAAATTAAATTTTTGTTTACCTATACACTTTTTAAAAAATTTCAATAATTCAAGTTCATTAAAATTTTAATTGAAAATTTCAAAAATTGAAATTGATTCAGGGAAATAAAAAGTTGCTTAATTAAAAATACTTTAAAATTCTATTATTCTTTAAAAATTGTAACAAAAATTTATCAATTAAAATTTATGAAAGCTTCAATTTAAACTCTTTTGAAATTTAATTATTTACAAAAAAATATCAATTCGAACTCTTCCAAATTTAATTAGTAATTGTATAATGAATTGAATGTCAATTGAATTGAAAATTTTTTTCTCAAATTTTTATCTATATAATATTATAATGGAATTATTTCTAAAAATCTTAACAGTAATTCCATTAAAATTTAATAATTTAGAACATATTTCAATTGAAAATTCTCTAATATTCAATTTTATGAAATTCAATTATTTCTAAAAATTGTAATTAAAAATCTTTTGAAATACAATATTACCGTAAAATGAGGTAAAGTCGGCGTTTGAGGGTAAAGTCGGCCGGCGCTTTAAATCATTTTAAAGTTTAACTATTACTTTTTTCCAGAAGAAATCCGAGTTTTATTAAAAATGTAGTTAGAATTAATGTAAATTAATAAATGAAATACAATATTTAAGTGTTTAAAGCGCCGGCCGACTTTACCCGCAAACGCCGACTTTACCTCATTTTACGGTACTTCACAAATTTTCATTTAAAATAATTTTTTTTTTCAATAATATTTTAATGAAATTCTTCGAAAATTTAATTATTTAAAATATTTTCCGAAATTCTAAATTCGAATAATGTACTTAAATTAGAATTAAAAATGTTTCTTTTTTTTAAGTAACTTAAAATTATTTTTCAAAATTTGTTCTGAAACTGAATTGAAATTTTGAAAATTTGTCTCAGTTTAATTCGGTGGTTTATAAAGAAAAATTGTTGAAAATATATCTGTGAAATATTCTTATTAAGGAAATAATAAATTTTATTCAATTTCTAACTAATCAAATTTATTTAAAATAAAAAAATCGACTTTTTAAACTTTTCTTGTAATATAAATCGAGTAAAATGCTTTTTCTTTCAAAAGTCGATCCAAAGCCTACAATTATAAAAATGTAAGACAATAATTTTTAGAAGCAAAAATTTGAATGGAAAATTTTAAAAAGTTATAATTTTAGCCCTTAACTGGCACAATTCCGCGTTCGAACGTAAATGGCACAGCGGGTCTGCTGGACCCGACATTTTTAAACGTGTATTACACAGCCGGTATTGAATATTTTTGAACAAAAATTTCATCTGAGGTAGCTCATGATATGTTTTTTAAAATGTAATTAGTTTTACAGGGATTAATTTATTTTAAGTTAGTTCAAAAAATTGTAAAAAAATAAAAACGAAAAATTGCGTGATTTTACTCAAAAATTCATAAGTTATTTAAATTTTAATATTATGACTTAAAAATTTAAGGTTATACTATTATTCTTTAAGGAAAAATTTACCACAACAGCAGAACTTGCAAAAAAGGTATTTATTTTGCAGAATAAAATGTGAGTTTTTAGGTTAAAATTAAAAATTTATAATTACTAATGTTTGAAGTTAATTTATTTTTTTGTATTGAATTAGTTTTATGCAAAAACTTAAAAAATTACTAAGAATATGTCAAACTAATATATTATAATATAAAAAATATTCAAAAGCTACACATTCAATTAATTTAAGCTCGAAAAAATGCTCAGGTCTACTGGACCCAAGGTGCCAGTTAAGAGTTAATAGCATTTTTAGAAATTTAATATTTTTCCAGTACTTTTCATAAAATTCCTCGACTTTTCCATGATCAATCTCACTTTCCCTTACTTTTCCATGATTTCCCTGACCCGTGTCAACCCTGAAAATGAATAATAAAGTTCTTAACCTATGATTTTTTTTTCATTACAAGGTAAAAATACCAAAGTAATGGAGTCATTTACAAAGATGGTTCCTACATTTGCAAATGTAATTCGCGAAGAACAGAGGGTTCAAATTTTAACTGAAGAACTCGTAATTGGAGATTTGGTGGAAATACGCCTTGGAGATAAAATTCCAGCAGATATTAGAATTATCCAATCACAAAGTCTTCGAGTGGAAAATTCAAGTATAACGGGAGAAAGTGAACCATTAACAAGAACTGACTATCCAACTGATTATAATATTCTTGAAAGTCAAAATGTCGCTTTTTTCTCATCATTTGCAGTTGTCGGTGAAGGAAAGGGAATAGTAATAGCTACCGGAGACAATACAATGATTGGACGACTTGCTGGACTTACGACACAACTTACAAAAACAGAAACTCCAATTGCTAAGGAAATTAGACATTTTGTACACATTATCACCTGTATAGCTGTGATTTTTGCGTCAATATTTTTCTTTCTCTCCCTCTTTATTGAAGCTAACTTCATTACAGCTTTTACTTATTTTCTTGGAATTCTTATTGCAAACGTGCCCGAAGTACTCTTGGTCACAGTAACTGCATCATTAACTTTAACTGCTAAAAAAATGGCAAATAAAAATTGTCTGGTTAAAAATTTAGAAGCTGTAGAAACATTAGGTTCAACTTCAATTATTTGTTCAGACAAAACGGGAACACTAACTCAAAATAAAATGACAGTATCAAATCTGTGGTTTGGAAATGCGAGATATAATTTTCCAGCAAATCAAATGTTGGGTGTAGAAAGAGATTTGCTTTTAGAAAAACCAGCATTTAATATTTTAATAAAAGCAGCAACTTTGTGTCTAAGAGCATTTTTTAAAGCGGATAATTTTCCATTCACTAAAATAGAAGAACGAGAAGTTATAGGAGATGCATCTGAGACTGGTATTCTCAAATTTTGTGAACATATTCAACCTACAAAACCTTTTCAAGAATCCTTTTCTAAGATTGCCGAGATTCCATTTAGTTCAAATACAAAATATCAAATGTCAATTCACAGAGAAGGCGATGGGTATCTAATGATATTGAAGGGAGCACCAGAAGTTATTCTTGAATCGTGTTCCACAATTCTTGACGCGAATGGAGAAACAAAAGCAATGACAGCTGTAGATTTGAATCTTTCACGTCGAGCTTGCGCAGAACTGGGATATCTTGGAGAGAGAGTTTTAGCTTATTGTGATTTGACACTTCGTGGAACAAGTTATGGTCCTAATTATGAATTCAATACAGAGGCTCCGGAGAAATATAATTTTCCAACGAAGGGATACAGGTTTGTTGGGTTGGTAAGAAATGTAAATTATTAAATGAGTAAAAAAAACATTATTATAATGTTAATTATAATAATCCCTCTTTTCTATGTAATCTTTTCTCTATGCCTTCATCAATTTCCTGATCACCTTTTCTACTTCCTTCACATTCTTTATCCAAACAACCCTTCTAAGGTTTAAAGCTGTGTGGATTCAAAATTAAACGTTAAAATACAAAACATAATTTACGACGCGCACCAGTCGACTATAAATATATAATCTATAATTAAATTTACTTTTGATAACCACCATATTTGAATTAAGCGATCTCGAAAATATTGGAATACCAAATTTCGAACAAATCAATCTATTTTTAGAAATTTAAGTAATTTAGTCTGCCATTTTGAATTTCGAAATTTTAACATTATTTTCGTATTCAGCGACCTAAATTTTTTTTTAATTTCACTATGATTTACTGGTTCATACAATTCAATTTATCATTTTTTTAACAAAAATGACCAACTTCGCTGAATTTTATAAAGATGTCTGATTGGTAAAAATTGTGGAAAACATTTTCGAGTATTTTATTTAAAAAAGTAACCAATTTCGTTAAATAATTATTATTAACTCATTCGCAGTCGAGACTATTATATTTGAGGTTGCTGATTGCAAATCACGCATCAGATTTTGAAAATTCAAAATGACGGATCCAACATGGCGGACGACTTTTCCAAAAATTCATCGGATTGACTTAAAACTTGTTACTTGAGGGTTTTCTGGTTCACTGATTACGAATCTCGCATCAGATTTTGAAAATTCAAAATGGCGGTCGATGAATTTTAGAAAAAGTCGTCCGCCATATTGTATCCGTCATTCTGAATTTTCAAAAAGTGACATCGAATTCGTGATCAGCAACCCCGAAACCCCGGTGTAACAAGTTTTAAGTGAATTTGATGAATTGTTGAAAAAGTCGTCCGCTATATTGGATCCGCCATTTTAAATTTTCATAAAGTGACATCAGATTTGTAATCAGCGACCCCGAAAACCCCCGAGTAACAATTTTGGGACAAATATATCTGTTTATCTAGCCATAAATCTGCTTGCGTGTATACAGGTCATCGACAGTTTGAGCCCACTTATTATTTCATGACGTGTATACACGTCATCGACTGCCAAGGGATTAATGTAATAATAAATGAAATAAATAATTTTATTTCGACTAATTAGTTTTGCAATTCTTTAATTAAACTCACTGGAAGACGGAAGAGTAATTTTAATGTTTAAATAAATATTTAATATATACGATTTATTTTTCAAAATACATTGAGCGTTATATCTGAAGAATATAAACTTATTGCGCAGACGTAGGTGTTTTAGAATTTAATTGCGCATCTTGCAAATTTTTGCAAGCTTCCATCGGTTTTATTGTAGAATGGTAATTAGTGACGCAAAAAATCGCCTTACTCCAAGATTTGTTAAAAATAATTGAATTTTTACAATTGTGGGATTAGTTTCAGGGATGTTTAATAATTAATTTTAAAAAAAATTAAGCCGGATTTTGCAGGATTCATAACTTTTTAAATTATTTTTTAAAAAGTTTATACTTCATTCCAGTACTTTCCATGAGAGGACTTCAATTTAGAAAATTAAAAAATAATAAAATTTGAGCTTTATATAGTATTTTTACGAGCGCGTTGTATTTTTCATTCTAATTTGCTAGTTTTTACAAATGCGGAAGCTAGATTTCAATAAACTGTAAGAGGATAAGATTTTTTTGCAGATCTCTATAAAATGTCTTTTTTAACTCAGAAAAGGTCAGAGAATAATGCTATGAACATCAAATACTTTTAAAAAATAATTTAATTTTAGAGTTTTCTGCACGTTTTTAGGGTTCTGCCCCACTGTGAGATTTTAGGTTTTGACAAAGAAAATGACAAAATCGTACATTGTGGAACTGTAATAAAAGCAGCAAAACCTAACTAAATCGAGATTGTTGCGGACTAATTGCGAAATTAATACATACAGATGTCGGTTTATACTAGACTCATTTCGGATTCAAATTTTTAAACTGACTAAATCTATCTAGATTATACGAAAACAGTTCGAAAATGATATGAAATATTCCGAAATTAATGTTGTGGACTAATACCAGATTTTTTTTCATACAGATTTTCATTTAAGATTTTTTAGACCTAACAAAATCCGGATTCGTTACAAACAGATTGCCGACTAATTCGGACTCCTTTCTAATACTGTTTGCGGATAGTTTACATAGAAATTCTGGACTCAATTTGAATTGTTTTTTGATCTAACTAAAATCAAATTGTTGCGGGCTTATTGTGGATTTATTTCATGTCAATTTCGAATGGATCTCGGACTTATCTTTTTATCCAGACTGATTGCTGACTAATACGGATCATTTTCGCAATTGTTTTCGTACAATTTCCGGACTAATCTGGACTGATCTATCTCTGTTTAATTTGAAATCAGTCTGAAATTTTAACTAGGGATGACAACTCCAGAATCGTATGTCGATAATAAATCTAATCAATCAGAGGTTCCATCAGTAATAAAATTAAATATTAATAAATTAAATAATAAAATTTATCAATAGTACCTAAATATAATTTTATGAATAGGATATGCAAAAAAATACTTCCTGTTATAAAATAAAAAAAAATTGTACAGAATTTAATCATCTCTATTCCCACTCTTATTATTATTATTAATTGCTTAAAGGTTAGTCTTTTGGATCCTCCTCGCCCTATGGTTTATGAAGCAGTCCACAAATGCCGAACTGCTGGTATCAAAGTGATTATGGTGACAGGAGATCATCCCGTAACAGCAATGGCAATAGCAAAAAAAGTTGGAATAATTAGCGAAGGTCATGAAACAAAATACGATAGAGCAATTCTCCACGACAAGACAGCGTCGCAAATAACAGTTGATCATGCACAAGCAATTGTTGTCACTGGTTCGGAACTTCGTAACATGGACTCTAACGAACTCGATGAAATAATTCGCGATTACGAGGAAATTGTTTTTGCTCGTACATCACCACAACAAAAGCTATTAATTGTTGAAAGTTGTCAAAGACTTGGAGAAATTGTTGCAGTCACTGGTGATGGTGTTAATGATTCTCCAGCATTAAGAAAAGCAGACATTGGAGTGGCTATGGGAATCACGGGATCTGATGTGGCAAAAAATGCAGCTGATATGATTTTAATGGATGATAATTTTGCTTCTATTGTCACCGGAATAGAAGAGGGAAGATTAATTTTTGATAATTTAAAGAAATCAATCGCATATACTTTAACGTCCAGTGTACCTGAAATGATGCCAATGTTAGTGAGTATTTTATTTTCTATACCGCTGCCGTTTGTTATTGAATTGGTACTATGTGTGGACATTGGAACCGATTTATTACCAGCAATTGCTCTTGCTTATGAAAAATCAGAATCAGATATTATGCAAAGACCACCGAGAAATCCAAATCGAGATAGACTAATTAATCGAAGACTTATTTCAATGACCTATGGACAAATTGGAATGACTCAATCAGTTTCTGGATTTTACACTTACTTTACCATTTTATTATATCACGGATTTATGCCACAGGATCTTATTGGATTGAGACACGATTGGGAAGACAAAAATATTGTTCATTTAAAGGTATTAAATAAATTAATAAATATAAGTTTTTCATGTTTTTAGATTTTTGATCTATTTATTTAATTAGATGGAATTAGATATAGAGAGATAGAAATTTTTACCAAATGGATCAGCATAATTAAGTATTTAGATAATTATTATAATAAATATATTCCAATAGTAAAAATTAAAATTATTCTACTTTAGAATTCATGGGGACAACAATGGAACTATGAGAATAGAATGAATTTATTAAATGAAGCAAGAACTGGATATTTTCTCTCAATTGTAATCACACAATTGGTGGATTTAATTATGTGTAAAACACGACGTAAATCGATATTTCATCAAGGAATGGGAAATTGGTTTCTTAATTTTTCTTTTGTTTTTGAAATTGTTCTAACGGGAATTTTACTTTATGTACCGGGAACTGAAATTGTTTTGAAAACAATGCCATTAGATATTTTTTGGTATTGGCCATGTTTATCATTTGGAGCATTGCTTTGGATTTATGATGAACTTCGAAGATATGCTATTCGAAAATATCCTGGTGGTTTTTTTGAGCGAGAAACTTATTATTAAAATAATGGTAAGAAGCGTAAAAGTAATCAATAAAAAAAGTGCAAAGTCCTTTTTTTTTGCAAAATATTCATTGATTCCTTCCCAGTTTGATTTTTTCACATATCAATGCAGAATTTTTTTTAAATTTTTTTTAAGCAATTACAGTTTTGATTTTACCATTTTCGTATAGTTTTAAATAAATAAATGTACTAATAAATTGAAATTCAATAAAAGCAATTATTTCTCAAATGTTATTTATAGTTAGAATTCTACATTGTGATTTGAAATAAAGTGAAAAAAATATTTCAGGCATTTTCAAGGTTTTCAAGGTCCAAAATAATTTTTTTTTTTAAGTTTACCTTTAATATAGTTGGTAACCGTTTATTCTTTTAAGTAAGAAATTTTTTGTGACATCAAAAAATGATGATTTTTCAGTACTTATACAATTCAATTATTTACATATTTTTCAATTGAAATTTTTCTAAAATTCAATTATTCCATATTTTCACAAATTTTAATGAGATTCTTTATAAAAATCAATTAATTTCAATAAAAATTTCCGAAATTTTAAGTATTTAAAATTCTTTTAATTAAATACCTTTGAAAATTTAATTATATGTTCAAAATTGTAATTTTTCATTTTTTTCAAAATTTTTAATAAATTCTTCAAAAAATGAATTATTTTAAAGAATGTTAAATTAAAATTATTTAAAATTAAAATAATATAAAAACTTTCAATTATAACTCTTAAAAAATTGAATTACTTCTATTTTTTTTACACTGAAAATTCAATTTAAGAGTTTTTATTTGAAACCTTAAGTTAATTATTAAATTTCATAAAGTTTTACATGGAAAATTTTAGAAAATAATTGAATTTCAAGTTATTTTGAATTGAATATTTTGCAATTTTTTTTTTAATTTTAAATAATTATTAAATTTTATAAAATTTTTAATTAAAAAATAATAATTTACGATAATTGTAGGGTAAATGTACTAATTACGGCGTGATTCAAATACCTTTGAAATAGAAAATTCGACATTTCTATTGTATAAGGTAAATTGAAGGCTTATTAAACTAAACGCTTATGTTATTTAGATATTAAAAAAATTTAACTTTATAAAAATTGATTACTTAAACAAATATGAGAAATTAAATCTAATACCGTAATTTTCTATTACGGCGCGTTTGTATCAGTTTCGGTGTATCAATTTCGGTGACCAAAATTACGTGTATTTTGAAGATACTTTGCCCGTCGTAATTGAAGCTAATGGAAATCTTAAAAATGTTTCCATTACGGCGAGAAAAAAAATTTGATCTCAAATTAAATTAATAATTGTTTAAATAAGCATCTTTATAAGTAATTGTATCAAGAAAAGATTAAAATAATTTTTTTAAATCATTTTGCAACAGTTATATTAAATATAATAGTAATAATAGTTATTTTTTATGAACTCGCCGTAATTGGTACACTTATCCTAGTTGTGAAGAATTTCATTAAAATGATTGAAAATAATTAATTTAGAAAAGAATTTTTCTTAAAAATTTGTTAAATAATGGAAATAAAGATCTGAAGAAGATCTGCATCGTATCCAAAAAAAGACGTATTATGTTTAATACATTTTATAAAAATGTAAAAAAAAGTAAAAAAAAAAAAAAAAGGCGCATCATATTAAATTAAGTCGAAAAAATTCGTATAATTAGAGGCCTGTGTTTATTAAAACTTTGAAAATATTTCTGAATTTTTTAACTTACCGCACAAGTAATTCTTCCTAAAATAGATTCTGGTATTCTTCCTGCTTTTTTAAGAATGAGATCAAGAGATCCACCGTCCATATATTCCATGCATATACTAATTTCTCCATCACTGAAAATAAAATTTTAAAAAATGATGAATAATTTTAATTCTGAAGAACATATTAACATCTGGTAATTGATTTAAATAAGTTCAAAGACAAACGAAACTGTGTACAAAAATAATTTTCAAATTAAGAAAATAAAGTTGTCACTAATTTTTACGTTATTCCAACATGGATAAAATAAAAATTTGTTTTTGAGATAAAATTCCCTTTTTAATAGAAATTTTAATATTAATATTCTTCTTTCATAAACTATTTTTTTCTCCAAATAAGAATGGAAAAAACAAACTTACCTATAGAATGCACCATAAAAACCGACAATATGGGCAAAATTACATTCATGAAGCACTTTTAATTCCCTAATAATTTGCTTCTTAATTGCTGGTTTTACCTCCAAGTGAATCAACTAAAAAAGATAAATAATTTGTAAAAAATTAATTTAACTCTCCTTTTCCAATAAATAATTTAGATATTAAAAAATATAGAAAATAACTTCACCTTTCTAGCCATGATGAGGCCATATTTTTTATGTTTAACTTTCATAACTACACCTCCATTACCGGCTCCTAATTCTCCTAATTTTTCAAAGTCTTCATCACAGAGTTCACCAACTTTTTCTTTTTGCCCGAGAAAACTTTCAAGTCTTTTTCTTTGTTCTTCATCCATTTCTAATTCTTCCAAACGTTCTTGAATTGCATCTATACTCATTTTTCCCATGACACCGCTAGAAATAAAGTTACGACGTCTAAGAGAGGTCGAAATAAAAAAAAGAAAAATTAATAAATTAAAAAAGAATACTTAAAAAATTATATATGTACATACTTTTGGAAAATAAATTAATTGAATAATTAAAAAAAATCTTTTTAAAAAAATGAAACTAATTAAAAATGTAGAAAATTGATTAAATTAAATAAATTAATTAAGTAATTAAGTAATAAAAGACTTAGAAATACATACTCTGGAATCACAGGAGCTTCAGAATATGTTGGAAGAGGTGGAACTGGCGGGGAAGGTGAAACAGCTGGTACTGGCTCGATTGAACCCGGTGGCAGCGTTAAATTCAATTTATTTTTTGACATAATTTTATTTCTTTAGAATTTTTCGAAAATTCCTCGGAAATTATTTTGATTATACTCCAAATTTATTGAAGTTTATATGAAACCAAAAATCAGTCTATGATTACCTGAAAATATATTATATTTCATTCATATGAGTTGAATAAGATATTTTTGCTTCCTCTCCTCACGAGGAAGCTTTGTATTCGTGACGATTTTCGATTTTTTTAAAATGGATTATATGGGCTTATTTTTATCTAGAATGCATATATTTGAAGTTTTAAACAAATGTCCGGATGTATGTGTGTGTGTGTGTATGTCACAAAATTTTGTGTACAAATTATCTCTAATACACTTCGATGGATTGTCCTGAAATTTTATAGGCTTATTACAGTCATCAATACCTAAAATCAGACAAGGATTTCCAAAAATATCCACATAATTTTTTTAAGTCACTTTTTCAAAAATTTGAAAATACGTTTTTTAACCAAAAATTTTTTTACACTGTAAATATAAATTTTTTTTTGTCCAAAAAACTGATTTCTCGCATTAAAACAAATTGATTAAACTATAGACCGAATTCATTTCAAATCAGACAGGCTTGACTTGGTCGGAGCTGAAAATAATTTTCACCTTCAAAATGGTGTTCTTCAATGAATTTTAGACGACACGTATTTTTTTATTTTGCTGAAAAAAATTTTTTCTTTAAGTTATAAGGATTTCAAATATATAAGTCGAAAACTTCGTTTTTTTAAAATGAAGAGAAAAAATCTTAAAAGTGTTGTAACTTTTTGAGTAATTAAGATAATTCACTTTTTCCTTTTGTGTCTGAATGGACTTTTATTCTTCTTTCGAAATCCATTGGAAAATTTAAAAAATATTTAAAAATAACAAAATAGCGGCCATTTTACTAAAAAACTTTAATTTGAAATTACTCAAAAACCTCACCTTTTTTTTTGCTCAAAATTTTTTTGGGAATTGTGTTCATAGGGAGGAATATTGCCCACAAGAATTTAACTTGTGCCCGATTCTGGCACAAGAGAAAAAATTTTTTATATATTTTTTAAAAGAAAAATATCATTTTTCTCAAAAAATACACTAGATATAAAAAAATGTCTCAGATAAAAGTTGTTCCTCGTTAAAAGACCTAAAAAATTGTCTGTTGTCATTTTTGCCCATCTTGTGTTTGTTCAGCAATATTTGTAAAACATGGATTAAAAGTTCACATTTATTGCTTTTTAAATATCATTTAAAATAGTTTCATAAATCTGTTTGAAATAGTTCTTTATTGTCTTTTTCCATAGCAACAATCAAATAATAATGAATAATCTTTACTGTCACAGAGGTTAAAATTGCTAATTTTTTGTGTTCAGTAAAATAATAGCGAGTATTAATATTAAGAAATTAAAGAATCAGTTATTATTTTTTAAAAAAGCAAAATAAGGTATGTTTATATAATATTGTATTGTAATGTCACTATTATTATTTTTAAATATGAAAAGGTCTTGTAGGTCTTTTAACGGGGAACAACTTTTATCTGAGACATTTTTTTATATCTAGTGTATTTTTTGAGAAAAATGATGTTTTTCTTTTAAAAAATATATAAAAAATTTTTTCTCTTGTGCCATAATCGGGCACAAGTTAAATTCTTGTGGGCAATATTCCTCCCAATGAACACAATTCCCAAAAAAATTTTGAGCAAAAAAAAAGGTGAGGTTTTTGAGTAATTTCAAATTAAAGTTTTTTAGTAAAATGGCCGCTATTTTGTTATTTTTAAATATTTTTTAAATTTTCCAATGGATTTCGAAAGAAGAATAAAAGTCCATTCAGACACAAAAGGAAAAAGTGAATTATCTTAATTACTCAAAAAGTTACAACACTTTTAAGATTTTTTATCTTCATTTTAAAAAAACGAAGTTTTCGACTTATATGGGCAAATCCACAGAACCGGCCGATTTCATGTCACTCACATATTTTTCTATTTTAGAAGTATTATATTAATTATTTTCATACTTCAACCATTTTGTAATATCTCTGAGAACCTATTGAAATAAGAAAATTGAATAAATGTGAACTTTCTAGTCTTTTATAAAAAATAAAATCGAATTAAGTAACTTAAAAAATGAAATTTACGGGGTTACTCCAGGTATAAATTTTAATTCTTATAGGTATAACTTGTTCGGCATAGAGCCGAACAATTCCAAACTGTGGTGAATTATAGTTTACTTATTGAAGAATGTTTTGAAAGTAGTAAAAAATATGTGCTCTTAAATAAAAAGAAATTATAGTCGTTGAAAGTAGCGTTACTCATTACACAGCCCCACAAAAAAAAAAAGTGTCATGTACTTTTGACCGGAATACCATAACCCTATGTATTTTGACGCGCTGAACACGAATCCGAAGTCCGTTTTGCTCCATCACGTCAGGATTTTTTTCTAACCTCAAAAAACATGTCCAATTTTGAGAAGTAGGCGATTTTTTTAAAAATTGATGTATTAACTTCAAACTTGGTATCTGGGGGTTTTTTGTTTTGCTGATTACGAATCTGAAGTTAGATTTTCAAAATCAAAAATGGCGGATCCAATATGGCGGACGAATTTTGAAAAAATTTTAAGATTTACTTCAAACTTTGTATCTAGGGGTTTTTTCGGTCGCTGATTACGAATCTGATGTCAGATTTCTGAAATTCGATATGTCTGATTCAATATTAAGGAATTATTTTTAAAAAACTGTCAGATTATTATGAAATTTGGTATCTACAGGTTTTCTAAGTTGCTGACAAGTAACACTAGGGAAGTGCCATACGCCGATTTTTCTGAAACTTGGCAGTTTTGTAGTTTTTTGAAAACAATTTGACACGTATGTTTTGTTTTTCCCCAAAAGCTGATTTATGGGGGGGAAATACCCCTTAAATTTTTTTTTGGTAGGGGGACATTATTTTACGAAATTTTTCAAAAATTAATGTGCAATAGTGTATCTGGGGGTTTTTTGGGACACTGATTACGAATCTGATGTCAGATTTCAAAAATTCAAAATGGCATATCCAACATGGACTTCCATCGGCCACATTAGATACGCCATTATCAATTTTTGAAAACTGACATCAGATTCGTAATCAGCGACCCAAAAAACCCCTAGATACCAAGTTTGAAGTAAATCTTAAAATTTTTTCAAAATTCGTCCGCCATATTGGATCCGCCAATTTGGATTTTGAAAATCTAACTTCAGATTCGTAATCAGCGACACAAAAAACCCCCAGATACCAAGTTTGAAGTTAATACATCAATTTTTAAAAAAATCGCCTACTTATCAAAATCCGACATGTTTTTTGAGGTTAGAAAAAAATCCTGACGTGATGGAGCAAAACGGACTTCGGATTCGTGTTCAGCGCGTCAAAATACATAGGGTTAGGGTATTCCGGTCAAAAGTACATGACACTTTTTTTTTTTGTGGGGCTGTGTTATTTTATAATAATGAAATGTCTATACATTTTTGTAAATATATTTTGCGGCGATTATTCGATTTGAATTTTTCAAATTGGAGCTTATTGCTTGTGAACAGACGAACAAATGTATGTATCATAGAATAGAGTGCAATCAGAATTAAAGAAAATATTCCAATAATTATCACTCTATGTTTAAGCGTGAACCATTTTCAACATAGCCTTTTTTCAGTAGCACAACTACAGGATAAAATATGATGAGTTGAAGACATGTGTGATTATATAAAGACATTATTATAATTCTTGTATGCAAACGCTAAATTATATTTTCAATTTATAACGTCTAAAAATTAAAAATAAAAAAAAATTTATCGAAATTAAACTACTTAATCGTGAAAAATGAATTATCCTTTCATTTGTTTTATTTTCAAAGTTATATCAAAATCGATGTCAATAATGTCAGTTTGTTGGTTAAAATAGTTAATATCAAAATTATTAAGTAAACAATTTAATTTACAGAAATAAAAAATTAAATGCTAATAAATAAAATATATAATAAAATATGATAAAATATAAATAATTTATTTTTGATAATTAAAAAATTAATTATTTGTATTTTATCATATTTTATTATTCAAAATGTTTTGCACATATTTCAAATAATATATAAAAAAACAAAGAAATGCCATTTTTAATTATAATTTCCAGAAGAAAAATAATATTTTCGTTTTTGGCTTTTAACTCAAACGGCATTAAAATAAAATGAATCACGCAAGAAGATAATTGTTCTTGAATATATTTTAAAGAAAGTAAACCATAAATAAAAGGTGTGCTTGCTGTTTGGAAAATTTTCATCTTGATAAGTAAAAATCGGCCGGTTCTGTGGATTTGCCCATATATTTGAAATCCTTATAGGGTAAGTGTACTAATTACGGCGAGTGCACCAATTACGGCGCGTTCATAAAAAATAACTATTATTACTATTATATTTAATATAACTGTTGCCAAATGATTAAAAAAAATTATTTCAATCTTTTTTTGATACAAATACTTATAAAGATGCACATTTAAACAATTATTAATTTAATTATTTGAGATCAAATTTTTTTCCGCGCCGCAATTGAAACATTTTTAAGATTTCCATTGGCTTCAATTTCGGCGGGCAAAGTATCTTCAAAATACACGTAATTTTGGTCACCGAAATTGATACACCGAAACTGATACAAACTCGCCGCAATAGAAAATTACGGTATTAGTTTTAATTTCTCATATTTGTTTAAATAATCGATTTTTATAGAGTTAAAATTTTTTTTTGATATCTTAATAACATAAGCTTTAAGTTTAATAAGTCTTAAATTGAGTTTATACAATAGAAATGTCGAATTTTCTATTTCAAAGGTGTTTTGACTCGAATCTCGCCGCAATTAGTGCATTTACCCTAACTTAAAGAAAAAATTTTTTTCAGCAAAATAAAAAAATACGTGTCGTCTAAAATTCATTGAAGAACAACATTTTGAAGGTGAAAATTATTTTCAGCTCCGACCAAGTCAAGCCTGTCTGATTTGAAATTAATTCGGTCTATATAAAGTCTATATTTTACTTAAAATCTAAATATTATATCATTTTTTAATTTTTGAAAAAAAAATTGTTTCTTATTTTTTGAAATAACTTTTTTTTCGTGAAAATTTTTAATTAATTTTGTCAAAACCGTCTTCCTAAACGATTTTTAAAGAAATAATTTTTTAAAATGAAAAATGCTATAATTTTTTGCCAAAAAAATATTTCTTCTAGTTTTCATTAATCAACAAATTATAAAAAAAATATTTTTTAGGCAAAAAATTATTTCTTTAAAAATCGTTTATCATAAACGTTGCGTACTTCAGCTTCGTAATATAAGTGTACCATAATGAGGACGCTAAATGTTCATGATTTGAACACCTTGTTATGAAATGTAGAAGAATTCAAAAAATTGACCAATTTTAAAATAAATATTTATTTATTCTATACACATAAATTCGATGCCTCCTGCAGGGTGGCAGCAAAATTTTATTTTCAAAATTCCCTGACTTTATAGGATAGGAGGAGTGATATATAGGAGTGGTTTCCAGGGTATTTTTGTTCGCTGGACACAATTGCTGGTCCCAAAATTGTTCTACATGTCAGGATTTTAAGTGAAAAGCTTGAAAACTTTAAAAAATACGTTTTTCAAGTCTTTATCCTCAATTTTCTCAAAATATTGACGTACTAGGCAATTTTAAGACCAGAATCGCGTTCAGTGGACAAAAATAGATTAGAAACTAGAATCAAAAAATAATTTTTTTGGGGTCTCTACCCCTACATTTCTAAAAAACCTCTATTTTTTGGTTTTGTGCATATGGGTCTTAATGTATACGATTAAAACTCAAAATGATAAAAGCCATAATTTAAAAGCCTTAATCAATGTAGTTTAACAAAAATGTTTTATTCTAGTACGGGCCAGAGTCATGCTTGTGTAAAATAAGCTGTAAAAAAATTGGAGCAATCGGTCGGATAGATTTTTGTAAATCATCTGCGCCAACATTTTTTTGTTATAAACATTAATATTAAATATAAATAACAAAATATAGTAAAAAATAATCGATTATAATTTTTTTCAACACTTCATGATTAGAATAAAACGAAGTAAAAAGATTTGGTTAAGTTTTTTCGGGTTAAGTTTTCTCGTTTCAGGGGGTGCTAAGGAACCACCAGGTAACAATGATTTTCCTTGGCATCGTAGGCAAACTTTTTTTTCTTTCCAGACACCTGTGCACACCAAATCTTTTTACATCGTTTTATTCTCATTATGAAGTGTTGAAAAAATTATAATCGATTATTTTTTACTAGATTTTGTTGTTTATTTTTAATATTAATGTTTATAACAAAAAAAAATGAAGTAGGCTGCTAGCACGGATGATTTACAAAAATCTATTCGACCAATTGCTCCAATTTTTTACAGGTTGTTCTACACAACCATGGCTATGGCCCGAACTAAAATTATGCATTTTTTTTTTGAAGTTTTTGTCAATAAAAAACAGATGATTTTTGAATTTCTTTCTCTATAAGTTTAACATTTTTTTATTTATTAACAAAAATGTTTTATTTCAGTTCGGGTGATAGCCACTGGCATTCAGAACTACCTATAATTAATTTGATTTTTTTGTTTCAGTTGACAACAATGAAAGTTATCACTGATTTAATACCAGATAAGTAATTATCAACTCCGAAAACCTCTAAGTAATGAGTTTTAAACTAATTCTTTTAATACTTATTATTGATACTAATTCATAATAATTAGTAACCACGAAAACCCCTTAGTATAATATAAGTTTTAAGAGAATCTGATTAATTTTTATACTCTCTTGCACTAAGAATAAAGGAATCTCATTATGCTATTTAACTCTTTAACGCCGGGACGGAAAACGAATTTATATTTTACAGTCATTTTTTTTACACGACTTTTTATTTAATTTATTTAATTGAACAGAATTCTCATTCAATCGAATTTTAGGTGATTTGAATTTTTAAATGACATAAACTCCAATTCACCGAATTTTAATTTGTCCGAATGTCGATTGTTTATTCGAACATTTTTAATTTCGGACAAATGAAAATTCGGTATCTTAAAAATTTTATAAATTGAAAATTCGTATAAATAAAACTACGACAAATTAAAATTCGTCGCATTGGAATTTATGCCATTCAAAAATTCTATTCACATAAAATTCGATTGAATGAGAATTCTATTAAATTAAAATTTGCTTAAATTGAAATTCTTTGAAATCGGTTTTCAAACATTTTTATTTTTAACAAAAAAAAAAGGAAAATTTTCATAATTCCTTCCTCTTAAATATTTTAACTACTTTTACAATTTTGACTATTTTTCATCAACAATTTTTTTACACGCTTTCTTAAAAAAGATTCTTTAGAATCTCTCGCATGGATTTTCAAAAAAATTTTATTTCTTTAAAAAATACAAATTCTGAAATGGTCAAAAATTAAGATTTTTCTTTTTTTTTGATGACATTGTGTATGTTTTTAGAATCCAAATGATGCGATAAAAAAATATAACATTTTGCGATTATTAAGGAGAGGTGCAACCTTTATTTTGAGTCCTTTAAATTTTAATGATGGCTGGAAGTTATATTTTTTTCTTGCATCTTTTGGATCGTGAAAACATACAAAGTGATTAAGAAAAAAAATATATAATTTTTGTCCATTTTAGAATATTTATTTTTCGAAAAAATTAAAATTTTTGAAAATCCATAGAGATTCTTAAGAATTATTGAAAAAGAGTGGAAAAAATTTGACGATGAAAAATACTCAAAAATGTGAAAGAAGATACACATATATTGAATAGGAGTTTATAATGATGTTTTAAATCACATTTATCTTCTTTTTTTGAAAAAATTAAATATTTTTAAACATCCATACGAGAGATTCCTAAGAATCATTAAAAAAAGCGCCAAAAAAAATTGTCAAAACTGTGAAAGAAGATAGATATTTAAAATATTAATTTTTTTAAGAATTTAATTTCTAAAATGGTCAAAAATTGAAATAATATTTTTTTTACCATCCTGTTTGTTTTTAAGGCCGAAATAATGCAAGAAAAAAAATATAACTTCCTGTGATCATTAAAATTTAAAGAACTCAAAATAAAGGTGGTGCCTCCCCTTTGGTTAAAAGTCATTTAAAAAGAATTTCTCTTAAAGGCTAATTCTAAAAATGAAAATTCGTCTAAAAAATAAAGTATATCCAAATAAAATTCTTTAAATTGAAAATTCTAAGTAATTATTTTTATGGAATAATCATGCGCCCCGCCATATTGGATTTTGAAATTTTTTGCAACTTTTTTTTTGAAAATGCCATATCTTCAGTTCTACTTGATAGATTTTAGTTTCAAAACTCTTTGACTTACTATTAATTTTATTCAAAAATAAAAAAAACACTTAATATAAATTTAAAACTTAAATTTTCGGTGAAATTCATCATTTAACGTAATAAAATTGCAACAAAATATTTTCCTATGTATGTTCGATATAATATGAACTTAAAGTTCTTTTGTTTTTTTATCTACCTTTAAAACAATACAACATCAAGTATGTATTATTGTGAGAAATTTTTTTAATAATAAAATTTTATTTTTCTTTATAAAATTTATAATTTAATTTTGTGTAGATGTATCAATTTAATATAACTTTAAAAAGGTCCTACCTGATTAGGTTATAATGTAATTCCGTTAAACACAGAAACAATTTATTACTAACAATTTAGAATGTTAGTGATTTAATTAATGACACATCTTTGGTTTACAATAATAGTCAATTGTTATTGTTTTTAATATTTTTAAGTACGACATATTCTGACACCTCATTTCCCGACTTCATGGATCAGCCATGGATCAGCTGTCATTAGCAAGGTTCAACAACTATCAAGGTTTTGCAGCGCGCAGTTAAAACAGTCATCCAATCAGAATACTCTATTTAAATGACGGCCATATTGAAACCGAGCGATTTAAATCACAAAATGTGAAAAGGATATTTTTATTTTTAGAAAGAAAATTAAATTAATTCAAAAAATATTATAAAAAATTTATCTTTAAGAATATTATAAAATTTAATTTAAAATAAATATAATTTTTTATTATTGTTAAAATATTTCTAATAATAGCACTGTGCTTAGGAACAAACTAGGAACGAACAAACCTAATTTGGGTAACGAGTTTCAAGTCAATTTTATTCTTTTTGATGAGGAAAAATTGTATTTTGAATTAGTAATAATAGTTGTATTTTGATAATGGGCAAAAAATGGCGATTATTTTAAAAATTTGACCCAATCTTGAAAAACGGTTAACGCCATTGAATTTAGCGTACCCAAATTATAGGTTAATTCACTATATGTACAGTTGGTCCATTTTTTGAACTAGCACAGTGTAAAGGTACTTTTATAAGGCCTAAGCAGAATAGATTCTTGAACGGGAACGCAATCGTAAACGGAAACGTAAGAATGAGTAAGAGAAGGATAACAAATATCTTTATTCTTTTCTCACTCATTCTTACGTTTCCGTTCAAGGTTGCGTTCCCGTTCAAGAATCTATTCTGCTTTGGCCTATACCTCGAGTATTTTGGTCAAACAGTCGGCTGCATTGAATTTTCAGTTGTAACTCTGAATTTGATTGGCCCTGAAAAATATTAAATTTTCACCGTGAAAATTGAATTGTGTTAGAGCCAATTAAAATTCGTGATTCTCCGTGAAAATTCAATACAGCCAATTGCTCGACCAAAATACTAGAGGTATAAATAACCTTTATATTGTAAAGTACTATTATAAAGAATAATATCCCAAGTAGCACGATATATCAACCAGATGTCACGGTGATATCACCGGGGAATGTCACCCTATGCTTTCAATGTAAAGTTGTCCTTCAATTAACGGCCATATTGGATTTCCCCCACCTCAACTGGTATTTTTACGTAAATGACGCGTAACTTAACATCCTACCCTTTCGTGCTTTTATATTTTATTCCCATCCGTGATAATAAAAACAGAATAAACAGTAAACACACTCAAAAGACTAAAAACAAGTTGTGTATATTATTATTTCTTTGATTTTCCTAAAATAAATTTTAATTTTAATAATGACGGCCACTCAGCACAAAACAAAATGTATAACTTTAAAAGGATCAGCTGAATTAGTGAAGCAATATTTAAGTAAGTAAACTATAGAATAATTATAATTATATATATTATATTACTGACTGTTATTTTTTCAATAACGGTCAAATTTAAAAGCGTTCGTTATATATACTAATCTAGAATTATGTGAACACTTTTTTTTATGAATGGTAAAACATTTTAAATGAGAAAAATAAAAATAATAAAAATTTTTTTTTTTTATTTTTTGAAAACTGAACAAATTTTGAAGAAATTATAACCGGAATAAAGAGGTTATGTTAATTGTTTTGTTAGATATTATATAGAAGAAAATTTGAATTTTGCATATTTTTAATTTGTCAGTTCCTCTAGAATTAATTAACGTTTTTTTTTAAGTTTTTCAGCTTAATTTCATCATTCTTTTGTATAGAATTCAAGTTATTTACTATTTAAAAAAAAAAAATTTTATTGCAAAGTGACAGTTGTGAAAGTAATCAGGATAAAAAAATTTCGAAAAATAAGAAAAGATTTAAACTCAAGAATGTTGAAAAATAATTCATTAGTTTTAAATTATTTTTTTTTAAAACAATAATTATAAATAAAAAATTATAATAATTAATACAAATATAAATATACAAATAATCGGTTTATTCTTCTTATTATTATTCTTGAACTTACTTTTATTTAGAGAAAACAAGATTACACATTTTGACCTTTTTTTTTTTATAAATAATTCAATTGAGGAAATTTCGTACAAGATAGTAATTTGAAAAAAATTTATTTTTCAAAATTTATTTTTAAGGTACCAGGGGCCAACGAATACCTATTAAATATTATATTAATTATAAAAACACATGCCTCGAATCAACTTAAAGACACAAAAAGTCGTTTTAGTCGATTTATATTCAAAAAAAAAGAGGATTTGTTTTTTATTTTAACAAAAATATTTTACAGATTTTTAAATAAAAAATTTTTTTTTTAATAATAATCCTTTTCGAAGGGTTAAAGTTGAAATTTTTAGAAATAATTAAATTTCAAAAGATAATGTTAATTTTAAAACAATTATTAATTTTTACAGAACTAAAAATAATTTATCAAACAATTTTTGGAAAACATTTTTTAAATTTAATTGAATTTTCAAAGATTTAAAATTGAGATTTTTGAAATTAATTGAAACTTTAAGTGTTTTGTAATTAAAATTTTAGATGATTTGACTAAAAATTTATTAGAAAATGCGGACAAAATACAATAATTTGAAAATCATTTTTAATTGAAAAATGGTTTCAGATAGTTGAATTTTCAAAGAATATTATTAAAATAGTTAAAAATAATTGAATTTCCTTAGAGTTATAATTGAAATTATTAAATTTCAAAAAAAAAGATTTTCGATGGAAAATTTTAGAAATAATTAAATTTTAGATGCTTTTAAATTCAAATTATTGAAAATTTAATTAATTTTGAATAGAAATGTTAGAAAATAATTGAATTTTATTTTATTTTAAATTGAAAACTTGATAAATAATTAAATTTTAAATTGAAAATTTTGGATAATTATTGAATTTTAATTGATTTTTAATTCAAATTTCGGGTATTAATTGAATTTTAGTTTATTTTGAATTGAAATTTTTAAAAAATAATTCAATTTTATTGTGATATATTTTTTTAAAATTATAAACAATTGTTAAATTTCATAAAAATTTTAATAGAAAAATAATTTTGATATAATAGAATTTGTGATGTATTTCATTAAAATTATTAAAAATAATTAATTTAGTGAAGAATCATTTTAGTTCAAAATTTGTTAAATAATTCAATTGAAGAAGATCTACATTTTATACTAAAAAAATGTATTTTATTTGCATTTTTTTTCAAATAAAACATATGATTTTCATTATTATCATTTATTATGTAATAATATTCTAATAAAGTAAATTATTATTAATAATATTAATCTTTAATTTATTTCTAACAAATAATTAAATGCTCAATTTGGCGCGCTTGCGCGCGTTTAATTTTGCTAGTTTATTAAATAATTTAAAAGTAGGGTCAGTTGGGGTAAATGGGGACAAAAGGTTTTGGAGCTTAATTTACAGTTTTAATATTAAGTTCAGCGTCAATATTTTAACCTCAGATCACCTGCAAGAGGTTTTGAGTATTGCCAAGCTTTTATCTTGACAATTGGCAGCATGATAATTCAAGTTATCGCTCACTGCATAAAAACTTGAAAATCAAAGTCGAACTATTTCAGTATTTTGTCTCGCATTTCAAAGAAAACAGACTTAAAAATCATACCAAATTTTTTTTCTTTTTCCTTATGACTCCTATAACAGAAATTTACTTGAATTTTTGTTTTTGTCAATTTGGTTAATAATAATAAGCTGAGCTAATAACCCTGAGTTTTCAAATTTTTGGGGTAAATGGGGACAGTCAGTTTCATGCATTTAAAGCTTATCTAAATTATTTTCTGCTGCATAAAATTAATCCTGGGAACGTAAATAACAACTTAAAAAAATATAAACCCGCAAATATTATCTTTTATAGGAAGAAACTTACGTGATTTGTGAAAAATAGCGATTTTGTCCCCATTTACCCCAACTGACCCTATTAATATTAATAAATTAAAATAAATTTTAAATCGGAATAAAAATTTTTTCTATATTAAATTTATTAAATTTAATTTAATCTAAAATTTTTCATTTATTTACAAATTATTTAGGACAAATTTTAATGAATCAAAATTTTTATTAATCGAAGTATTTATAAATTAAAATTGTAATTTAATTAAATTTTATTCGACTCATATTTTAAGGGGAGGGACCGGTGAATTTCAACTCATCGAAATTAATGTTGTTAAGGGGTGTCAATTTTTTTTCTGACATTATTTGGGATCTAAAATTATTGTGAATTATCAGAATTAAAAAAAAAAATTTTTTCAATATTTTAGAAATTTTATTTTTTGAAAATATTAAAATTTGTAAAAAATCATACGATTGATTGTTCAGAAATATGAAAAAAGATTACAAAAAAATAATAAAAATTGTAGAAGTTAAATTTTTAAGGAATAATTATTGATAAAATTTAAACCAAACATAATTAGTATTGTTTTGGGGGTAACAATTTTTTTAGAAATTTTTTTAGAACCTGAATTCATATTTCACTATGAAAAATGAAAAAAAGTAATTTTTAACAATTTTACAATTTTTTTTTATTTTTCAGAAATTTTATTTCCTGAAAAAATTGAATTTTTATTAAATCCATACGTTTGATTGTTAAGAATCATGAAAAAAATGTATTAAAAAATCAGCAATGAAAAATAATAAAAAATTGCGACTGAAGTTTAAATTTGTAGTTTTTGAAAATTTCAAGTTTTATTTTAAAAATTATTAATAAATTACCTAATTGTTTTTCAATTTCCAATAGGTAGTATATTAGAGTTTTAAATATTCAATATTGTGACTCATAATAGCTATAATTTTTTGAATTTTTCTATCCAATTTTTAAAATTAAAATGCGACGCATGAATATTTCACTCACGGAATTTGTTGGAATTTTCTACGGTTGAAAATTAATGAGTTCAAATTTTTTTGTTACCGAATTTTCAAAAGTAGAATTTATATTGAAGTGGATTTAAATATTTAAAGATTTTTGTTTGAGTGAATTAATATTTAAATGAATTTTCATTTAATCGAGCTTTTATACAACAGATTCTCTAGTTCACCAAATTTTTGTTTCATATAATTTCTATTTATGATAATTTTTATATTTTTTACTTTGCGAAATTTCCATAATACAAAGTTTTAATTTAACATAATTGTTTTTCAATCTAATTTTTATTTAGCAAAATATTCACTTAACAGAATTTTGACTTTTAACTGAATTCACATGTAACATAAATTCTAGATTTAACAAAACTTTTATTTCATCAAATTTTCAATAAAGAGATTTTTTATTTAAACGAATTATTATTTTAGAGAATTTTTTTTAAATAGAATTTTCCACTTGGTCGAATTTTTCAATATCAGAAATTCCATTTCATTGACACTTTATTTGTCGGAAGTTTCATTTGTACGAATTGTCGTTCGAGAGAATTATCAAATAATTGAATTTTCATTTGACCGAAATTGTAAATCATCGAAAAAATATTAGGCTGTGTCAGTTCATCGAGATATTTTGAGTTCAAGATATGACGTCAGAGGCCTGGAGGGACAACAAACAGACGACATAATGTTATTCTTATGGGGAAGAAAATTTGTTTCCACTTTCATCAATTTTATTCATACTTTAAATATGAAAAACGCTTGTTGACATATAATAAAATTAAAATGTGTGTTGATAATTAATTTTGTTATATATTTGATTCAATTGCATTTATAGATTCTTTGAATTCGTGATTAAATATAAATTTTGAGGTTATGGGTGTATGTTTTCTAATCACATTTTACATTTTAACAACATTATTAAACAATATCCAGTATGTATGTTATTAAAAAGATATAAAATATATATTTTAAGTGGGAATTACCGCAGCAGTAAAAGATTTCAAGTTAGTAAACAAATACCCCTAACCTCAAAATTTATATTTTATCACGAATTCAGAGAATCTATAAATGCAATTGAATCAAATATATAACAAAATTAATTATCAACACACATTTTAATTTTATTATATGCCAACAAGCGTTTTCCATATTTAAAGTATGAATAAACGACAAAATTGCCCCCGTCGACTGAAGAAGAGCATAGGCGAGCGCACACTAGACGATTTTCCACCGACACGACAAAAGTGTCGGCGTGCTGTCGGCGAAGCAGTCGCTTATGGAAACCAATGTACGAGCGCACACTAGACGACAATTTGTCGGCCGTTTATCTAGGTTTTAGGTAGATTTTCTCTGTACCGGGATTCATTTTCTTTAACTTAACGTACTTATGCGATTTACTTATAAACTACAACAATTATAGTTTAATATTAATCATTTTTAAATTGGATTATATTTAAACAATAATATTAATTTATATCAATTAAGTTGATTTTATTAATAAAATAATTTAAAAATTAT